CTAGTCACGTGTAGCAATCTCATGTGTTTGTGATGGGTTTTCAGTGAGACAGGCACCATAAAATTCCTTAGTAGAGGTATGTTACAGTGTGACTTTGCTCCTTGAGATCTTTCTGACAAATTCATGGAGCATAATTCTGCCAATGTGCCAATCAGGATGGCTATGCACTGCCTCCATAATCAGAGGCAGTTAAGTTTTTGGCTCAAATGTGGAGTCACAGGTTCAGTTGCAATCCTTTTTTTACCATTGTGGTGCAGAGTCAGTGGAGGAAAACTGTCATCTCCATTCAGGCTCCAGCAATAATGGCTGCTTTCTGGGATATGTAATGGTACTACTTCTTGGGGGGATATGTAATGGTACTACCAAAAGCAATGGTACTACTATTGGGGTTTTTTCAATACTGTGATTCTTAATTTGAACATAATAAGTCAAACTTTATTTCCTGCCATTCTAGCATCCCAGACAGCATTGGGAAAGACATAGAAAAAGCGTGCCAGTCCATCTATCCCCTTCATGATGTCTATGTTCGTAAAGTCAAGATGCTTAAGAAGCCCAAGTTTGAATGTAAGCATTTTGGTACCTTATCTAAAGAATATTTTTTGCTATATTCATTGGTTGGGAATGAATGATGACAATTTGTTTCGGTCCCAGATGAAACAATGATTACTATTTTCAAATTCTGACATTCCCATAAATCATAAAAGGTGGAGTCTTGATTGTTTTCAAAAAGTGTATTGAGCAGCCAATCAATTTAATTTTAAACATGGCTTCATTCTTTAGAAGCACTTTGTTAACTTTAAATGTAGAATCTTAGCATAAAATTGTCTCTGTGTTAATTCAAACTGTTGCATTATTATTTGCAGTGGGCAAGCTGATGGAGCTGCATGGTGAAGGTGGTGGTGCTGGAAAGCCATCAGGTGATGAAACTGGTGCCAAGGTAGAGCGAGCTGATGGGTATGAGCCCCCTGTGCAAGAGTCTGTCTAAAATCAGATACAAAAATAAAAGAAAGATTTAATATAAATGGCATGGTTATGGGCTTTGTGTCTTTTTCTTTTTTATAAACACAGTTGGCCGTTATACTTCAAGGTATAGACGATGGGGTGCAGATATTAGAGTGATTTGTAGGTAGGAGTAGTTGAACAAAGTGACTATGGTTGAGTAAGATAATTAAAGCCACTTGAAGAAAAATGCTTGCACAGCTATTCAGTGTGGGCTTCTCTATCTAGAAAGCATGTTGTCAATTAATACTTGAGACATTGAAGATTCTAAAGGCAGTAAGTTGAGTTGTAGTTCCCATTCAAGTTAGTTTAGTCTGGATCAACCAAACTAGTTGGTAAGAAAATATGGACATTAACAAGTTGAATTGTGAACTGTCAAAATCAAATGCTGATATAAAGGGTTGCAGTGTATGTTAAGAACCAGTGTGCAATTTCTACTTAATATTTGATGTATTTGAAATTCCTACCCTACACCTTGGGCAAATAGTCTGCGAATCAAGCCACTTTCAGCAAAATAAACTTTCAGAAATTATTATTCGTATTGTTAATACCCCACTCATCTGACTGGGTTGCCCCAGGCAATCTGGGTGGCTTTGAACATAATATATAAAGGTTGAGCTCAGGTAGTAACTTAAACAAAGTCAATTACTCTTCAAGTGATTTTGTTTGTTATCTACACAGAGAGGCAGACATTCTGTCACTTGTATGTAAGCATATTAAGTTTTTTTTTGCAACAAAAGAGCATGTCGTCTATGTACTGAAAGATTTAGGATTGTACTCCTAGGTTTATTAAAACCAGTTTTACTGAAGCACAGTTAAATACTTGTTTTTTCAGAAGCATGACTATTAACATTAGAAAATTTTAAATTGGAAACTTTGTTGGTTTAATAATAGTATAAATCAAGCATGTCCAAAGTCCGTTTTGGGGGCCTAATTGGCCCTCTGGTTGGTTTAATACGGCCCCTGTGGCAGTTTATTTCCTGGGGTAAAAGCCTAAAAAAACCCTCAATGGCTTCAATCCTAAAAGAAGTCCAACAACTCCAATCCTAAAAAAAAAAGCGCTCAATAACTTCAATCCTAAAAAAAGGTCGTCGACTTTGGTCGGCCCCCCACGCCTCTTCACTTCATCAAATCTGGCCCTCTTTGAAAAAGGTTTGGACACCACTGGTATAAATAGACCCACTCTTAAAACTATGACACTTAAGGCGAAGCCCACTGAAATAGCTTTAATCGCCACTACCTTTATCTAAGGCTGCATCTTACGCATATTTACACAGAAACAATTTTTGAATTCAAATTTTATTTTTGAATATATACAAGAGATTATGCATAACAAGTATCTTGAAATTTACAGAAGAAGAAAATGGTTGGGAAATGTTGGTATTGTTTAGTAGGCACATTATTGTGACGACAGAGTAGGTATTTGGACAACATAAAATGGAAGTAAAAGATAATCCATATTTGCTTGCTTGGTGATCTTGTTAAGTATAAGATTGTGTCTCATGGTCAGAGCCAGGCAGAGGCCCGGGCCAGGTAGTAATGTGCCCCCCCTTTTTTTACCCTGGGGATAACTGAAGTCTTATAAATAAGTATATAAATAATTGTGAATATGCTGACCGAGGCCCCCTTTGGAATCGGAGGCCCGAGCCAAGTGGCCCATATGGCCCCCCGTCTTTCTGTGCCTGCTCATGGTTTCCATAGAGTTCTCAAAATGCCCATGCCTAGCTTGTTTCTGGGTTTGGAAAACACAGTAAATCTTGTTGGTTTTTATGGAGCAAGCAGTAAACTTTGAACTCTGTAAATGATGCCTTCATCCTAGCAGCTTCTGGACCACGTTAGCTGAACTTACGATTACTTGTGCCTGGATAGCCCAGTTGGCTAGAGCTTGGAGCTCTACAAATCTATGAAACCAAACTTCGCATGATGCTCCCCGTGTCCAGTCAGTTGTTTCACTTTACACCGTTTCAGTCAAACAGAAAAGTTTATTGGTTAAACAAACATGGGGTACCATAAAGTGGAGGCGGAGTACACTGAATGTCCAGAGGTAAAGTGGCTTTTGTATGCAGATTTTGTAAGTTTAAAAATCCCTGCAGGCTTAAAATAAACTCATATACTTTAACAGTCCCTGGTTTACATTTATGATTGCATATATATTTTAGACTAATTTGCCCTATCCTGCTTTCCCACGGAATGGTATGCTGTGGAGTTTAGATCATTATCTAAAATACTTCATAGTCTCATTCTGGAAAGTAATGTCAACTAGTCATGCATTTAATTTTTAATGAGTATTTTTCAAGTTTCAATCATTAAAGCTGTATTATGACCCTCTTAGATGGCACTGTTGGGATGAGATTGTTGCATTTGGCAATCTTGGTATGCAGAACGATGAGAATAAAAGAACGCTCAGCCAGTTGCCTATTTAAATTAATGAGATGCTAATAGATATAATACCCATTTAGGAAAAAGCAATTAATGCATTTTCATTAAAGAGGCCAAAAAAGTTCAGCAATTCCCAACTGCCTTAATACTTAAATCTCTATTTGTTGGCAATATTTCTTTGAAATCATTAGAAAAGCAGGCATTTTCAACAAATAAGTAAACATTACCCTGAATCTGGTATTGATTTTCAGTGGGCACTTCAAGTGACCTTCAGTAACTTAGCTAGTAACTGCACAGGATATAGCTTTGATAGAATGAGAATCTGCTAATGGCTGTTATAAGACAGCCAGGGCTATATGGTGAAAAAGGTGGCTTTTGCATAGGACATATACTGCTCCGCTAAAGTATGAAAGCAATTAAGAATCCAGATGGGCGGGGTATAAATAATAAAATTTTTGTTATTAGAGAATCCATAATAGCTGGGTGAAAAGGCTGGTACAGTGGTACCTCGGTTTACAAACTTAATCCGTTCCGGAAGTCCATTCTTAAACCAAAACAGTTTTTAAACTCAGGTGTGCTTTCCCTAATGAGGCCTCCTTCCACCGTTCGGATTCCGCTCTTGGTCCGAGGTAAAGTTCGCAAACCGGGACACTGTTTCTGGTTTTGCGGAGTTCGTAAACCGAATCGTTCGTAAACAGGCCTGTTCTTAAACTGAGGTACCACTGTATTGTCTTCATACTAAGCAAAGCCCCATATACTGTTTTAGGTGTGAGAATTCATATAGTAGTCCATATACATTTTGCACTGAAAGCAAGTTGGGTGAGTATGTATGACTGATCTATGAAAAAGCACAGAGGAAGTTTGTTCTAATAAAGATTAGATAACCCGAATTTTCTTTAAGCACACCTTTTAGGTAGCATACATAAAACTTTCCATGAGATGGAAAGTGGTCAATCATGACATATTAGGTACAATTAAACAATCTTGCCTACCTTACCTTTCCTAGTACAGTGCTAAGCCTAAAGTCACTTCTCTATCAGAATGAACAGTTTTTCAGCTTACTGCCTTATTCAAGGGAAGGAGGAAGAAATTTACAGTAAGCATGGGGTTTCTCCAGACCTGTTCATCTAATATCAACAAGGTTTACTATCCTGGGTCCAGGGACAGTCCTGTGTCAAAATAACCAGTTGACATTTGACTTGTTTTTAAAGGGGAACTTTGAAATGGATTAGGAGATAAAATTTGGAGAAAGCCACCTACAAAGTCAATTTGAGTAAGTTCTTGATCAGCATTAATCACCTCAGTCCTCAACTGACCAGATTGCAAAAGAATTGCAATTAAAAGCAACCTGTAGCTGCTTGAAGCTTTCTGTATACTTGGATGAGAAGCAAGCCTCCTGCAGTTCCAGGCACTGTTAATTCTGTTTCATATTGTTCAGAGGAGGGTATTTGTAATTTCAGTATCCTCGTGTTTAACAAAGTTTTGGTTTTAAAATCTGAAGCTGAATATAGCAAGGATCTGAAGAAGACTGGGTATCTACTGCTCATGCAGAAATGAATTATTTGTACCTATGTCATACAACTATCCAATTGGCTGGAAGAAAGTGAAGACATTAATTTATGTAGAACTCAACTTGTTATGAGCAAGATGTTATGAAAAAGTAGTCAAAAGTTCTAGTCAGTCTCTGAAAAACATTGTTAAAATTCAAATGCCTAGTACCTGCTCTGGATGCAATTGGAAGGTTCCTTCTTTTGAAGATAAAATTTTGGAGTGTCCGTGAACTGCCCAGGGAAAGACAGGATGGTTGAATTGACTGAAATCTTTATGTAATTGCTTTTGCAGTTTCACGGTTTCTTGATCAGTTTAATCTGGCTTAATCAGATTTTTAATGTATATGCATAAAGTGCTGTTTCCTACACTAACTTGGGTGTGTAATGAAAATCATTCAGCACAGACCTGCATTACAGATGTAGGATAAGTATAATACAGCCACCGAATTGCTATTTTTCCTTTATCATCTTAACTAGATTCATCTTAGAACTCTGAAAAAGGCAGGCAAGAACAAACCAGCATGCAGCTTAGATGTAAGTAACACACTTTTTAGAGACACACAGGAAGACAAAATCCATGGGCAGCAATACAGATTTTTGACAAAACTATGGTATGTCTAACTTGTTATAAAGAAGCGGTCATATAGGGTGGTATCCAACTAAGCCATAGCATTGACTCAATGAAATAAGTCATTGATTTCTGCAGATCTGCTATGAGTATGTCTTAGTTGGATGTCACCTATAGCGAGGCATATTTTCACATGCAACATTATTTCGAACACAAAAGTACTCTTAGTTCAAGAAAATATGGTGAAAAGATGACAAGGGAAGTCAGCAAAAGGTTTAAAAAATTGAATACAATATGAAAGAATGAAGGGTATAAAGCACCAGGTTGAATTGAAGGCAGCATTCTGAATAGGAGAACCTTTTATACTGTAATTACTAGATAATGAGCCACTTTTCTGCATAATTTAGTGGTGAAGCATGTGCCCTGCACACATATTGTTTTGGATTCAGTCCTTTATATGACCAGTTAAAGATCAGATAGCAACCAAGAAACTACTGCTTGAACCCATGTAGAGCCCCTGGCAGTCAGAGTAGATAGTACTAGGCTAAACAGAACAATGGTATGGGTTGGTATAAGAACCTTCATCTGCTCATATAACTGAGTAACCTTCTAGACCAGCGTTTCCTCAAACTTTGGTTTCCAGCTGTTGTTGGATTACAGCTCCCATCATCCCTAGCTAGCAGGACCAATGGTGAGGTCCAGCAACAGCTGGAAACCCAAGTTTGAGAAACACTGTTCTAGAATCATGTTTCATGATATTTTATTCCTTTAACACTAAGTGATGGAGTAAGCAATAAGTAGTTTAACATGGTTTCTGAAACAAAAAACCCAACCCACCAAACCCTGTACCTTACAGTGATCAGACTGTACATCAGGGCTAATGTTTTCACACAATGGCTATTTAGTGTTTACTGATTTAAGTATAATATGGCATTGGAAAGGAAGAACGCAGCTTGAATATTTAGCTGCATTTGCTAAAATGCAAGTTGCCAGCAGTCAAGTATTGTACCAAATTCCGTTTCTTGGAAGAATGAGTAAGCAAGACTTCTAAATAAGTGTAAACGTGAAACAAAATATTGTATAGTCTACAAAATGTTGTATATTCTAGTATACCTTTATAAAAATAGTGCAAAAATGCATTTGATAGTCAAAGAGTAGATCGTATGATCGTAGAGGCAACCTTTGCTGCCTGCAGTAATGTGCTTTTGTGCTAGTAAGGTATTTGCTTGTATAGGCTTCTGTAGGCAGATGGTCCAAAACTGGGTTTTATCTTCAGGAGGGATGTATAATCTGGACAAAGTTTTTGGGGAATATTCCAGTTTTGCCATGTAGCTCTCCAGTCACCCATTCTTCATCTACAGACTCCAGTTCAGTTAGGATATCACCAACCTGATGGAATAGTTAAAGTAAATATAAATCTGGAAGGGTGTCATTCTTTCAGTATTGTCAAGTTCCCATAGATTGTCTTTTAGTGGCATTCTGCTGAAGTTCTATATTCGCTTGCCATTCCTTTAGGTTGGATGAAATGAATCTTATTGCACAAAATAAAGACTTTCCTTGACTAGCCAAATTGCAGGCGGTATTTTGTTTGCCAATATATTCTTTGTCAGCTGAGAGGTAGCTGATCGTGGCACCAATTTCAACAGCACCTCACTCTTATCTTCAGTTGTATTCAGCATACTATAGGAACTGCCTTGAACATCAGTATATCTAGCTTAGCATTGTGTACATTGATTAGCTGAGGTGCTGAAGGGTTTCAAACAACCCAACCCTATTAAGATATGCTAGGAACTAAATCCGAGGATTCCTGTCTCCATGCACATTTAAGTTTATGTCCCTTACCCCACTGGCCACTGGATCAGTTTAGGGAGGCCCAAACATTTAAACAATAAAAAGCAAGTATATGACCTCATATTTTAGGGGCTGTAGCTTAGTGGTTGAAAAACCCTAGGTTCAATCCCTGGGGTCAAGAATGGGGATGGGAAAGACTGAAACCTTAGAGAGCAGCTTTCAGCTATGGTTGTCAATACTAAGCTAGCTAGACCTATATTCTGACTCAGTCTTAAGTCAGCTCCCTGGCTCAGATGTAACAATAATACTTCAGAAGTAGCTCTATCAAGTGGAGAATTGTTCTGGATATACTTATTCAACTTACCAACTGAAAAAGAGATGCAGATCAATATTTTTAAGAGTCACACAGTGCCACCTTTAGCACTGCAGTGTGGCAAATAAAGAAAATGGATGGGTTTAAAAAGATACCTTGAAGGAGAGTTCATCTACGTTCTCAGCATGGAAGTCATATAAAGCCTTGGCTTTTTGTTTCTTAGTACCTGGAGGTTGTGATGACTGTGTTCCTCCTGTAAAACAGAATGATAGTATTATTCTTTCATCACAAAGATGGCAATTGTACTACACTGTTTCCCATTAGCTACCATATTTCTTACTTTCGTCTAAAATTTGATTGAGTGGAAAGGGAGAGGAGAGCAGGATGCATATTGTATACCTAAGAAAAAAGTTTGTTCCCCATCTTTTTTCCAAGCAGAAACACAAGTACGAGTGGGAGTTTTGGAAACTGTTCAGGGTTTCTAAAAGCACGGAGTTAGTTGAAGTCAAGTTGAGGCATTGTGTGAGGTTGGTTAGGAACCACTCTTTCCCTGTTGCCCCCTAGCTGAAGAGACGTGAGCATGATAGTACCCAAAACATTATTGAGATAATGCCAAACCTGTGGCCTATGTCAGTGCTACTGCACCAGTAACTGGCACTGTCCCAAGACACTCAAACAGCATGTTAGTGGGATTTTTATAAGCACAACAGGTTGGGACTGCGCTGCTTGTATCCCACATGATGCTGCAGCCTTAGGATCTGGGTACCAAAAATACCACGGAATTTATGACAATTGTACATCACCAAGGTACACTCTTCATCCATCTCTGTCAATTTAGTGAGTTGCTTTCTCTGTCTAAACAAATGTTTTCCCTTAAGAGTTCATTGCTTTTTCTTTCTTTTTTGCAACACTAAGCCCTGTGTGTGAGAGTGGTGATTTATTTAGAAATGTAACCAAGCCTCTCCTAGGGATGGACTAATTGTTAGATCCATGGCAGAATGTGTCACGCTTCAAGGACCAACTGAGGCTGTCTGCCTGTCTAATTGCTGCCATAATAAGCTTATCTGCAAACTCACTGCAACGGAGCGCATTTGAGTGTTGGGAAACTGCCTTCCATTTTGAACGAGCTACCTAAAGTGTGGCATTTGCATAGAAATCTAGAACAGCACGAAGTGTGGTAGTATTTATAAATTAATTCAAAGGGATTTCATCTGCCCTGGAAGCATTGGAGCTTTTGCATCAAAATTTTCAAGGGCAGCATCTTGATGAAGAAAGCTGATTGGCAGCAAACTGCATCATGTAGAATGGGCATTTCAGGAAATGTCTTTGTGCAACCTGCCACGTGTCCATCTATTGTAGTGGATCATGCAAATTACCCATGTCCTGAAGCCCCTTTCCACGTACCCACTAAGGCCTAAAAGAACTATAAGCCCTTCATGTTCGAATCCACTTCATACATTTCTAAAAACCTTAAAAGTTTATACAGAACTAGATCAAGAAACTCCCATTTTACATTCCATTCAGCACTACCTGAGCAAACATGAACAAACACTGCAGGGAAAATTCCTTCCTTTCCATTCAGTCTCCCTCTGTACCACTCTGAGTCCAAGTGTTCCAATATCAAGATGTGATCTCCCCTTTTAAAGGACAAGTCTTCCTGCGTTTCTGCTGTAAAATCATGGAGTGCATCACACCACTGTCCGGCACGTCCTTCCAGCTGCAAAAATGGAAGAGAGAACTTTTCTATTACTGTATGGAAAGCAACCCAGCCCCCATTACTTATGTACATAATATTTAATAGGCTTAAAGCAGATTACTGGTGAAAAAAGCTTTCTATCAATCCTGGCCTGTGAAGCACAAAGAAAAGATAGCATATCTTTTGGCTCAGTTTAAGTAGCTTATTTCTCTGTGTGCTCCTTACACTAAAAGGCAGAAGGTAATGTGGCGTTCTGAGTGCACACATCTTATTTCATTGACTTTTATGGAGAAAGCAGAAGCCCAATGAGTACAAAATTAAAACTGCTTTCCAACCCAGACCCCTGGGCATGCAACAGCAAGAGGAAACTCTGAAATGAATGGGCTTCCTGCAAGTCTGCTCTTGCTTCCTTCTCTTGACTCCATTTTCCTTTTATGATTGCATCTGAAGATGTTGGCCATATTTGAGAATGTATCACTGCAGGTTTTTAATCCTAAACATATATGCCAGAAGAAAGAGCTGTTGAATTTGGTGTGCTTTACTTATAAATGAGCATGTTTAGCATGAATCTGTGCCCAGGAATAATAACGCTTTCTATTTTACAAAATATGATAATGAGGGTTACCCAGCCCCTAAAAATAATATTTTGTTCATTTGATAAAAGCTATTATTAATGGCATTGTTGATTTAGAAGCCAAGCCCGTTCTTTTCATTTTATATTAATTGTCCAGTGCTTCTGTGCAGCCATAAATTCTCAGTTGTCACCAACGAGAGACTGCTTTTTACTCATCTCTACAAGCACACCTAGGGCATCTTTATCAGTATCAGAAACAAAAATCTAATTGCCAGTGAAATAAGCAACTCAAAGAATGGTTGGCGGAACAAAAGTCTTTTAAAATAAACCAGAAAAAATGTTTGGATTTTTCTTGCTAATCGCAAATCTGTTATTTCCTTGAAATTTGTATAATTTAAAACTTTCTAAGCAATTGGACTGAATCAGTCAGGAGTTATGGGGGTGGGTGGGGTTTCCCTATGTCCCTCATCTCTCTTCACAATGCTTCAAGCCCCATTTCACCACCTCCATTCCACATGTGTACTAGGGCATTTTATTTCCCTTCCACTTTCAGTGACCCTACCCTCTGTTTCTGTTCAGGGTGTGAAAACTGGATTCCATCCATGTTAATTAAAGGTATACCTAATGGCATATTTACCAAACATGTGAAGAGCAAAAATGTTAAATGGATTACCTGTGACACAGACACAGAATTCTTATTCAGTGATGTTCCACCATCTACATAAGAGGATGATAAAGGGAATTATTATTTATCACTTATAAATCACCTAAACTTTTCTAAACCCTATACAGAGATTAAGAGTTAAGGCAGTACCTGCTTCCAAGATTTGAATCCGTGTATGTTCCACTGGCTGAGTCAGGATGGGGGAGTTATGCCCTGGCTCAACTAAGAAAGCCCAAGCTCTGCGAATCCAGCATCTCTCATCTCAGTGAACCTTGGGTTTGGACTGTAATGTTACTCACAATTGCTTTCTGTATTACCTGGTCCAGGGAGATCTTCAATAATTTCTACGAAGTTCAAGGGGAAAATTCCAGATGTGCCTCTCAGCTCTCCTCTAGCCCATTCTTCATTGACATATTCCTTCAAAGTAATAATTTCACCTTCCGAAAAGCTTAATTCATCTTTCTGATCTCCGATGTACTCAAATCGAGCTATACATCTAGGGCCTCTAAAATAACAAAGATAACAAAACAAAGCTCAAAGGAACAGCAGTAATAGCTCCCCCCCCCCGACTCTTGCTCCAAACCATCAACCACATTAAGAATGGAGCAACAGCTTTATTCTAAATGAGCCCCCTTCATCACATGTATGCACTGACTGCTGACTTGAAAAAACAGCCTGCCTCTTTCCATTGATGTTAGGCCCATTCCAGGGAATCTCTACCCATATCTGACACAAACAGGTACTATGTAGGTGCTGTGTCGGTACAGCTGTCAAGCAATGCAGTATCTAGTCTTTGGTGAGGCCAGGTTGTAAAGATGGCCGTAATGCTCAGACCTGAGCAGCTGGTTTATATACAGTGGTACCTCTGGATGCGAATGACATCCGTTCCAGAGCCCCGTTCGCATCCAGAAGTGAACGCAACCCGCATCCGCGTGTCTGCGGGTCGCAATTCGCTGCTTCCGCACATGTGTGTGACGTCATTTTGACTGTCTGCGCATGCGCGAGTGGTGAAACCCAGACGTAACGCGCTCCACAGCGCGCAACCCGAAAATATTTATCCTGAAGCTACTTCAACCCGAGGTATGACTAATGCAAATTCTCACTGGGATCACGGATGCAGGTGGGTGGCTGCATAGAAATCCATTTATGTAAACTGGGTAGTGCACAGACATTGCCAGCAGGAATTGATGCAACTACCTCAATACAGAGCTCAACTTAACACTTAACATTTCTGCATGTGATTTCAAACCAGCCTACATGATCTCAATGTGGGTGGAAAGGTGAGATTTCCAAAGTGGTCCCAAACAAAGAAAACAGTTCGTATTACGTCCAGTTATTTGGCTCGGAACAGGAAGTGCAGATATGCTGGAAATCAACGTTGCTTCTGCAATTCGCAGCTGGCAAAGCATGTACTATTAGCAGAGGGACAACCCATCACTTTGGGTCATAACCAGGCTGGAAAAATGAATTACTATAAATGCACCTGTGCCAGGGGGGGTTTCCAAGGAAACACTCCTGCCTTCATTCAAGCCAGCAGCCACATAAGTGGGCAGGAAGGACTCATGGATTGGCTGGGAAGGACATGAATTCTCTGGCTCATAAAATTTGAGGTGGGAAATAATTATTGGGCCATAATGTTTGATATTTTAAGTGACCGCTATAGCCCTGAGGTACCTATTTCCAAGCCAGAAAATTAAAAAAGTTTCAGTGATATCTCTAGTTTGTGTGCAGTTTGCAGTCTCTATCACTGGCTGAACAAAAAAGGATATCTGCAAAGTGAGGGGGGTGAGACTAGCAACACAGTAAATTCAAAGTAAGGTATTGTTAAAGCCATGTTGGAGGGCAGATGACACTGAAATATTATTTTAATGACATTGGCAGCTGGTGGTTTATCACCAGACCGATAACAAATGGAAATAATTCAAATCACTTTTTATCGTCTGAAATATAAGTAAAATGTCCAGCCTTCTTAAATATTTTTCCTACCGTAATCAAAATTCTAATAATAAATAAAAAGACAGATGTTCCCATTAACCTACTGAATGATTATTGTACACAATAAATAAATTTTCTGCACACTACCAAAGAACAATAAATTATAGCTCGAGAGTTCAAAATGAAAAAGAATTGTAAAAAGTAATCCTATAGTAGGCAGACACTCTACAACTGAGTGTAATCAATCCAGTACCTTAATTGCAATTTTAAAATGCTATGTAACAATATTTCAAATGACAGATCCACTGTGTCACTGGATATATGCAAATGTTTTGATTTAGCAGGGACCTCACAGATACATAAGAAATTTGCAATTGTTACCTTCCTCACATAACTCAGTCTTTAATGAGAATCTTGATCAAGATAGGTTACTGTTTTTTACCTTCAGACATTTTATTGCCTATCTTCCGCAAGTACAGGCTCTACATCTAGAACAAATTAACATCAATCCTTGGAAAAACACGTTTGAGGGATGATGCCATCTGCCAGTTCCTTTAATCATTGCAAATCAAACTAATGTTTATATTCTGCACACAAAAAACCGTCTTGTTCTTTACCTTACGTTGTAATTGATCTTGAATTAACAATACTGTTTGTTTTTTTTAAGTACTTTGCAGGAATCAAGCAGCACAAAGTCAGGTGGAACATTTCCCACTGTATCATTTGTCTCACTAATCATACTTCTGACACGATATGAGAGAGCCTAGAGTCCTGCTACATTATTTTGTAATACCATGGCATTTTAAGAAACTTGTGTGCTGGTGCATGAAGTTTTAGAATCAAGTTGCAGGTTTCACAGAAACCCTAGTGTGAGTGGAAGGCATTTTTATTCATGTAAGTGTCTGATTCTTATTGCTATCTCTAGTTGTGGTGCCCTGTAAGACGTTAGACATTATTCCACATAATTCCATGACCCAGAAGAATAGAGGGGTTTTGGGGGTGTGTGTGTGTGTGTGAGTGTAAGGAGCTTCAGCTGCTTTGTTGACAAAGCAGAACTCTGCTTGTGGTTTTCTAGACATTTACTGCATATTGCTGTGAAAACTTACACAATACTGGATGATGAAAAGTGCCCTTTTCCCCTGTTGCTTTCTCCTGGAATATCAATCTAGGAAGAAGAAGTAGGAAAATGTAAGTGTTCAGCTTCAGAGGTTTGCTCTGCTTTGAAAACAGAATTCTTAAAAATGCAGACTTGCTTGATAAAACTGCAGTTCCACCTGCAGCCTTCATGTGGCAATGCTCAGTTATTAGAATGTTTTGGTCACGGATCAAAACCAAAGGGATTTCTTGCAGGATCAGTCTCTGATTCAATATTCTGGAAGACACACCATGTTCTATACTTTTTTTTTGTTCCCAATACCATACTTCAGTATCAACAGTCCTCTCTTGGCTGCACACACGACTGGCAGAAATCAGGACTGAGAGTACAGTAATTACATGCTGTTGCCTTTGGCTCCTTCTCCTAATTGATATTACAGTCTATTATCTGCTTGTTCGTGTCACAAAAGTCAGAATAATTATTCAGACATATCCATTCCAGGACTTTGATTTCCTGGATCTCACCATCTGCAAGCCAAAACAAATAAACATATGTCGCAAAGCCTACTACTTTATTCATACAAAAGCAGAATTTTAAGAAGATGGATGAAACAATCTATTATCCAGAGGCTCTCCCACTATGCATTTGGTTTTATACTCAAGGAGATATGCTATAAACAGTCATAGAAACCCTAGGGTGAGTGTTGTAAACTTTTACTGCAAAGCAGTAACTGCTTCCAGAACCAATATTTCTTATTAGATGGCAGAATTGCAATCTCTTCTGCCACACATCAGGAAATCTATGTAAAATCTGTGTTCATTTCTGGTTTTGAATTCACCTGCCTAATAGAAATATTTTGGAATGATCAATGAATCTTCACCTAAATAGTTTCAATCTAAACGGTTGGAAATGGAAAATAACATACATATTTAGACATACACACAAAGGAATTTTGCACTTCCACTGGCATCATAACAGTCCATGTCGAAATCTCAGGTGTGTTCACCCATTTACCTCAAAACCTGTGTTGGAAGCCTACATATTGTACGGAGATGGGTTTATTAGCAGCTCCATGAGGTCAATGCCATTATTTAAGGGATGCGGGTGGTGCTGTGGGTTAAACCACAGAGCCTAGGACTTGCCGATTAGAAGGTCGGCGGTTCAAATCCCCGTGACGGGGTGAGCTCCCGTTGCTTGGTCCCTGCTCCTGCTAACCTAGCAGTCCGAAAGCACGTCAAAATACAAGTAGATAAATAGATACCTCCCCTCCTCCAGATGAATATTTTATTTATCTGCTGTACATGTATAGTAGGGGACCCACAGGTTGAGAACCGCTGTCCTACAGGAAGCACTCTTCTGTTCCTCTCTTTTTTCTAAAGTTCTTAAATCCTTCAATGGATTCACAAGGTGTGGCCGTGGTGGTAAGGCACAAGGTGAATCGTGGAGCAAAAGCTAATAGTTTACTGTCCCTGAATGCTTGATAAATCATAGAGCAGCCGTAAGACTCTTGCAAGCTGCAATCTTCTGTTCCCCTGGCCACCAGTCATTCTGGATTCCTTTGCCTGTAGCTGGAGTGGTTAACCTGGAACCCCTCCAGATGTTTTTATATTCCAAGCTCCCATTATCCCTGACCACTGACCACACTTCCTGGAGCTGATGGAAGCTGGAGTCCAGAAACATCTGAACGGGCACAGGTTAGCCACTCCTGCTTTATAGTTGCACAAATAACAAATGCACGCAGAGTCCCTTAAATTACATCTTGTTTCTTCCAGTGCTGCATATTTTGGAACCCTGCTTGATACAACCACAACATCAGCTGCAGAGAACTGGTTTTGTAAGATTTTGACATTCCCATTCCTTTTTTAGGAGATATACAGACACACTGAAGCCCGTAATGGGTGGCCATGTTATTTAAGTGTAGAAGTGGAAGACAATCTGATCTGATGTACCAAGAAAAAGCCCCAAAGTAACATGGCTGCTGTTGTGAGAAACTGCACAATATGCTCTTGGGTGATTTATGAACACACTTGAATTAAGTAAAGGATGTGTTCTCACTTAACTTGAAATTATCATGAAAATGATGCCCATAAACTGCCAGGCAGAGCTGCGAGATTAAATAGATTTGCTGCACCTCACAAGCAACTTGATATCTGGTTTTGTGCACTCAAGCAAGATTTATCTATATGGCATGCTCAATAAAATGCACAGGGGAGAAATTAAATTAGAACTGGGATGTGTACATAGATGGAATGCACCATATTTCACTGGAAGTGGCCTACTTACAATAACTTTGACAAAGCTGGCAGGAAAGATCCCTGTGCAATTCTTGCATTTTCCTCTGTACCACTCGTCATCTATTTTCTCCAGAAGATAAACGGTCTCTCCAGAATAGAGGTCCAAATCATCAGTATGTTCTGTGGACAACAAAAAATTATACCTGTTCATGTTGTAGCCTAGTATATTGAATATCGCTAAGAAAAGCCTCATTTAAAACAAACACTGTATGCAAAAACAAGCCAGAGTTTGAAAAATACTATAACATAAACTACTTAGGGTTGGGAGTAGGGAACATACTGGAGTTTGGAGCCAGCACAGCCCCTTACAATAGCACAGAGAGAGGAGCTAGGTTACATCTTCCCTATGAACATAAAACCTGCCTGCTAAATCAATGGGTCTAATTTACTTGGCTGTCATCCTATGATTCTAAATTTCCTCCCAATAGTCTACTAGGCATATTAATATCAACAAAATGAAGCCAATTATTTTCATTTAAAGGGGGGGTAATGGGGGGTGCAGGTGGAGTTTGGAAACTTTGGGGCAAGTCCTTCTGTGCTTACCTTCTTGCAATCCAGAGTGTGTGCAGTTTAATTCAAGCCATGAACCATTTCTGTGTGTGTCTCTGGCAGTACCAGAACATTACATCTACCCATGTCGTATGTCAAAACAGTAGTTGTGCACAAGAGGCAAGCTGCAGTAATTTGTACTGGGCCCTTTCCCCTGTTCTCCCATCTACCCATATATCTGACACCATGTCCCTCTGAAAACTTCCCACAAAGGAACCCCAGAAGCCTATCAAACCTGCGATGCCCACAGGCCGACCAGGTGTGTAACCGTGTTTATGGTTATCTAGCCATTTCTACAAAGGTAACTCAGTGAGTGACTCTGGGCATCGCAGAGCTGTGTACACTTTCTGCCTTACACAGGTATCCTTTCAATTTCTTCTTCATCATCCTCATCCCCTTTAAACTTTCTCACTTAGCCACTGCATTGTGTCCCTTTAGTTGTGTTTGCTTATAAGCAATAAACGGAAAACTATGAATGGAAACTGCTTCAAGCATGTTGCCGTTTCCCAGCAAGAAACAGCCTAGCACTGTCAATATGTTCTGGCATGCAGCAGAACCAGTAAACTAACATCTGTAACTAAACTAAAATCTGTAAACATGATTCAAAAAGAAAGAAGAGCCCACAATTTTAACTGTTTCCATTTACACTGCTACCACTGAACTGCACTTACCTGCTAGAAAATCATGCAGCACTATCGCATGAGGAACACCTGGGTCGGAAATCTTCCGCAAATTGTCCGAATCCTTAAAACACAGTAGATTTGGAAATTGTGATGCTTGGTGTTTGTTATTTGTTGGGAGCCCTAATTTCTGTGTGGATCATCCATCACTGACTTAAATATAAGCTTCCACCGATTTATGTTAGCTGCTAAGACATAAAATGTGGGGCCTGCTTCTTTTCTCATTTAATCTGGATTTTAATACCACCTGATCTCATTGAAAATCAATGATCTTAAACCAGCGCAGTACATGCATCAGCGAAAAGAAAATCGCATCTCTGAAAACTGCAAGCCGCTGCTTTGCTACTGTAAATGAGATGTGTGCCTGTCTAAGCCTTTTCCTTATTTGCAAAGTTTTCTAACTAATTCTCAGATAGGCTAACTCCAGAGCACCAACAATAACAGTAAATCCCCTTGGGAAGTATAAGCAAAAGATGCTGACCATTTCAAAACACAATATCCATTTTAATTTGTTAAGAGCCACAGATAAAGTCCTCTTGGTATATTTCTAAGAGTAACCTAATAGCACGAGATGCTTAACATCCTATACTAAGATAATAAAATTATGTTTTGGATTAGGATTTACCAACTGCTGTTCCAGTGAAATAGTGTTGCCCTGGAGTAAGAACTTTTTTAATACAAAGCATGCTAGGATCTGCAGAAATGTATAGGAAGCTATAGGCTCTGTGCAGAACAGCTCTCGATAATTGTCTATTTTTTTTCTAATTCATTTCAACTGGGCAGTTTTTGATACGTATATTAAAATTCATACCCTCTGTCTGCTTTTCAAACTCTCATCCAGTGGAGTTATTATCTGCATCTGGGATGAATGAACTTTGCCAGTTTCTTCACCCTTTTGACATTCAATGATGCTGTTGTCAACATGGTCCACCAGCACAAGCACATCCCCACGCTTTAAAGTTAACAAAAGGCCATTAGATGGTTCATGATTCAGCAAGCAGCATGTGCATATGCATGAATAAGCCACAAGAAAGAGCTTTACCTTGCAAGAGAGATGGCTGGGATCTTGTGGAGAGATATCTTCCTTGGCGATTCCATGAGGCACAGGAAGCTTAAGACAAATAACTCAAACGTTTCAGTCCAAAAATAGCTCCTGTCAATTTGCTACACAACTTAATGTTTTATTACATATTGTAAAGAAAGAAAATCAAAATACATTTTAAGCATTTTAAATAAAATATGCAATATATTTTAAAGCATTAAGCATTTGAAAGATACAAAATCAACCATATTTTTGGAGCATAATTTTTTGTGCGAAAACTGCAGTGTATTACCGTATTTTTTGCTCTATAAGACGCACCAGACCATAAGACGCACCTAGTTTTTGGAGGAGGAAAACAAGGAAACAAATATTCTGAATCCCAGAAGCCAGAACAGCAAGAGCGATCCCTCTTGCTGTTCTGGCTTCTGGGATAGCTGCACAGCCTGCATTCGCTCCATAAGATGCATACACATTTCCCCTTACTTTTTAGGAGGGAAAAAGTGAGTCTTATAGAGCAAAAAATACGGTAATTCATTGTTTGTCTGTTTGCTTATTTCTTAAAAATGTGTCTATCCTGCCGTTCATCATAAGATCTCAGGGTGAGGAACAATAACACTTATTTTAAAACCCACAGATCCATTAAACAACCTAAAAGCAGATAACATTACTATTTACATAAGTTACGAAACAATAGGGTGGCTTCTATCAAACCCCAATTTTGTTCTTTTCCTCACCATGTATTTACTGTAGAGAGGATGGCCTGGCTTGGGTCGAGGAGGTAAAGCTGGGTCTTGATTTTTAGCAGTATCGTTCTTTGTTCTCTTGACTCCTGGCCCTGATTTGCCTGGTTGTTTATGGAGGTTCACGTCAGATGATGAGCGAGAAAACCTCCCCTTTTGCGACGAGGCCTTGGTAGACTTTGGTGGTGGTGGCCTTCCAGGGGCACCCTTAGGTGGAGGAGGTCGAGCTGGGGTGGTTTTTCCATCACCAGGCCTAGAAGTTACACAGACAACAAGGAATATAAACCATATAACAGAAAGCATAGTTCATTCAGATATGTAGAAAAATACTTCAGGGCTGGATTATCTGAAACTACTAGAAAAAAAGCAAGAAGCATTTTTTGAGGGGGCAGTGGACAATCATTGCAATATCCCCAATAGCCTAGTCTCTTAAACAGAAAATTCTATTTCTGCTGACCAGTTTTGATTACAGACAACCAGCTATTGCAGGAAGGCAGACCATAATTAAAGAGCTTTGTTTGAAGCTGCCGAGGGCAGTTATGTGCACCATGTCTGAGCTGCCTCATGTGCAAGCTTGCTGAACCAGCTAGACAGAATATCAGATTATAAACAGTTAGAAAGAATGTTTACACCATACAGTGGTACCTTGGTTCTCAAACGCCTTGGTACTCAAACAACTTGGAACCCAAACACTGCAAACCTGGAAGTAGGTATTCCGGTTTGCGAACTGTTTTCAGAAGCCGAACGTGCTCCATTTTGAGTGTTACGCTTCTGCTTTGAGTGCCACACTTCCGTTTTGAGTGTTACGCTGAGGTCTGTCTGTTTTTGCTATTTATTTTACATTTTTGTAGCTCTTTTTTGTGTGTGTGTTTTTGTGACTGTGTGGAAACCAGTTCAGCTACTGACTGATTGATTGTGTGACTGCAGTACATTGTTTATTGCTTTCATTTTATGGATCAATGGTCTTGTTAGATAGTAAAATTCATGTGAAATTGCTGTTTTAGGGGTTGTTTTTAAAAGTCTGGAACAGATTAATCCATTTTGCATTACTTTCTATGGGAAAGCATGCCTTGGTTTTGGAATGGAGTTCCGGAACAGATTAAGTTTGAGAACCCAGGTACCACTATAGTGGTAAATATGTTCCCATCTACTGAAGTATTTAAAACACCATAGGAACAAATAGGTTTTTAGCTCACAAATGTCATTCTGCTGGCCACTAAACAATTTGATTGATATGAGCTACTGGGAAATTGTCAAAATAGTACAGTGGTACCTCGGGTTACAGACGCTTCAGGTTACAGACTCCGCTAACCCAGAAACAGTAGCTCAGGTTAAGAACTTTGGCTCAGGATGAGAACAGAAATCATGCTCTGGCGGCGCGGCGGCATCGGGAGGCCCCATTAGCTAAAATGGTACCTCAGGTTAAGAACAGTTTCAGGTTAAGAACGGACCTCTGGAACGAATTAAGTTCTTAACCCGAAGTACCACTGTAATAAGTAAGAATAACTTGGCAGGGCTTTGATATGTATTTTTACAGCGTTCATTTCAATAATGATACCTGTTGTGCCTAATTCTCTATATTTGACCAGGGAAGTTGCACAACATCATAAAAAAAAATTCCTTATAATCCTTAAAACATTTAAAACTACTTCTCTAAAAATATTAAAAGAACATTGCCACCATGTTAAACATATTTTAAATACAAACTGTTTAAGCAAAAAGGAGAGATGCAAAGTATATATTTATTACGATCTTAACAAACACAAAAGCAACAGGTTAAACGTGTAAGATAACAAAGCTGACAAAAGAGAGAGAGAGAGAAAGAAAGCCATGCTTATATCAACAGCAACAATGACTCATCTCCTTTGGGATTAGCCGAGTCTTCCTGCAACAAGGCTCTCGGGTTTACTCCTATTATCATCATTCCTGCAACTTAAGATTTCGGAGCTGAAAGACAGCTCTGTCTTCTTGCTATGCAAGACTGGACTGAGCCAGTTCCACGATCGGTTCAAGCTGTCTAATGCAGGATAGTTATGTCAGAACAGCAGTGGTATACTTTCTAATTTACTGTATCCTTGCTTGGAATAGCTGGCCGAACGGTTTATCTGCTACAGAGTTGAACGTCATAAAAGCTTCCCTAGGGCTCAATTCCTATGTTGCACTAGCACTATGTTACCAGTTTGAAAGTGGAATCATATAAATGCTGTTCTGCTTTGTGTGGAAGCAGCTCCCCACATGGGGAGCTCATGGAAAAGGAGGACTGCACTGGCAAGGCTGAAATCATGAGGATCCTGTTTCGAAGCAGCTTCATGCAAGCAGCTTCCCATGTGTAACAGTGTTTATATGATTTGGTTTTTCAATAATATATATGACCGGAGTGTTCTTTTCTGGGTTGCTCTCAAACTGAGCAACTTACTATTAGATGCACTCCTATTGCTGTCTAATTCACACTTGGCCAATAGTAATCTGCTGCTATTCCTAGCTATAGAAAGAGGCAAGTGTATCAGGCTAAACCATGGGTTAGTGCTAGTGCATGAACGGGAACAAGCCCAAACAAAGCCTCCGGTTTAGACATTCCTCCCTGGGAGAAGAACACCGCCAGAATTTAGTTTCACCTTCAGAATGTTGACTTAGTGCATTTGAACCAGAGGTTGTGGCAAAAGGTAGTTTAATTATTCCTGTCCCCCTGAGCAAAACCAGTTGGGCATGCAGTATTCTCTGTCTAATATTCCCTTATACATTTCAAGGGAGCCTGGGATAGCTCCGACTTTGCTAATGTATGGGGACAAAAGAGAGAGGAACAGCAGGAGTTCATATTCCACTCAAGAGGCAGTGTCAACAGTATAGAGGGTTCATTGCCATTGCAGTTAAAAGGAAATGAAACTGTTGCAGTGTGAAAATGATTTGAATGCATTCTTATGATGGATCAGGGACCATGACCAATCCATGAACTACACACACACACACACACACACACACACACACACACGAACTAGGCAGCATCTTTACTACACAAGACTTTCCCCCATCTCTTTCTACTCCTTTTTGTATGGTTATTGGACAAATTGATACTTTACTCACCTTGGGGGCATTATGGGTTCATTCTTTGATGACTGTTTCAAACTAGAATGCTCAGATTCCTATTGGAATAAAAAATCTGCATTATTATTTGGACAGCATGAATTGAAAGTTCAACATTATTATTATTTCAAGGGAAAACTTAAATTAAGATTTCACTACAGAGATTTTATTATTTTGTCGTCGTCCCCCCCGAGGGACTCCTGGTGAATATTAGCACAACTTGTACTATTAGTATTTTGAGAGATGTAGGGCAACTATTTGAGAATAAAATGTAGTAAAGCCCGTTTACTGTAAACTAGGGGCCTCAATACACAATGGCAATGTCAGACATACTCCAGGTAGTCCACTGATTTCATGTGGTCTACTCTATGTCTCTAAGTATGCTGAAGAATTGATGCTTTTGAATTATGGTGCTGGAGGAGACTCTTGAGAGTCCCATGGACTGCAAGAAGACCAAACCTATCCATTCTGAAGGAAATCAGCCCTGAGTGCTCACTGGAAGGACAGATCCTGAAGCTGAGGCTCCAATACTTTGGCCACCTCATGAGAAGAGAAGACTCCCTGGAAAAGACCCTGATGTTGGGAAAGATTGAGGGCACAAGGAGAAGGGGACAACAGAGGACGAGATGGTTGGACTAACTCAAAGCTACTAACATGAGTTTGACCAAACTGCAGGAGGCAGCAGAAGACAGGAGTGCCTGGCGTGTTCTGGTCCATGGGGTCACGGAGAGTCAGACACAACTAAACAACAACAAATATGTCTAATGTTGTACAATAACCCAATGTGACTGAAGAAAAGCTAGTGCCAAATTCTTCCCTAGTGAAGAAAAGACTAATATCTTCCATCTTTGTGATATCCAGTGGGGCAGTGTGGTGGGGTGGTGGACAGAAGATCTTTCTTTCTAAAGAGATATGATGCACTTTCAAAAGGGTAAGTGGAATTAGTTCAAAGAAATCAGATTAGAGATAAAAATTCTTAGTAGAACTTTGTGTATTACTGTAGGATATGGGGACAGCCCTCGCTGAAGAAAGGAAACAGAAACTACAAATGATACAACTGTATTTTTCCAACACAGAGAATGGCCTTCTGTATCAAAGCAATGTGTTTCCATGCTGATAGCCAAGGCATCCTTTCTTTTCTGAGGTAAAAATAGTTGATGCCTTCATTCTCATACCAACTCCCATCAGCCCCTGCCAGCATGGCCAAAGGTCAGGCATGGATGGGCCTGTAGTCCAACAATATATGGAGGGGCTCTATGCTGGTGACACCTACAATAGAAGATCTCACACCAGTACATTACACACAGCTTGGGACTTTATGGTCTAGCATAACAGGGGTGTAAAAGAGAAATTAAACCAAGATGGAATAATGGAGCTGTGTGTGTCATCCTGTAAGCTACAGGATATACATACATAGATATGGAGGAATTTCAGAGCTATGACTATTCACCCTCTACTTGAAGACCCTAGCAAGGAGGAGCCCACCACCACCTTTCTAAGTAATTGGTTTAATTGTTGAACTGCTTTTATGATTAAGAATTCTCTCCTAAAGTTCAACAGAAAACAATTTAGAGTCTTAATTCTCAAAATGGCACCTTATGTACAAAAGGATAATTCAAAGATTATAAACAAAAAAGAATGAGTTACCACATTTTTTGTTGCTTTGTTGTTATTGGGTTTTCCAGCCGAAACGCCAGATGTGTTCCCTATTGGTTTTTCTGTAGGAAGTGGAGGAGGGCTCTCTGGGACTTCATTTAAAGCTGAAAAAATATTAGTGCTTTTATAAACATCGCCATAAACTTCATACAGATACACTAAAAAACATAAACATCAGTGGATCTGATCGATCAAATGGAATCACAACAGATCCTTCATCCTGGCCAAGGGATTTCACCATTTCAAGAAATGACACATGAATGCCACAACAAAAACAATGACCCATGTACAAAAAGGTATGGACCTCTTCACTAGGGATACGGACACACTGGCAAGGATGCATTATGTCAGACTTTCCAACAGATGCTGGAGTGGGTCATAGAGATACTACTCCAAACCTCCCATTTCAGAACTATAGAGACTGTGTCTTTCACAAATGAACTGCCTGTTTCCTCTTGCTATCAGAGCATGACTGTTTTCTTGGGCCAGAGGACAGTAAAGAGGATGGCGCTGTGGGTTAAAGCACAGAACCTAGGGCTTGCTGATCAGAAGGTTGGCGATTCGAATCCCTGTGACGGGGTGAGCTCCCATTGCTCGGTCCCAGCTCCTGCCAACCTAGCAGTTCAAAAGCACGTCCAAGTGCAAGTAGATAAATAGGTACCACTCTGGCAGGAAGGTAAATGGCGTTTCCGTGCACTGCTCTGGATCGCCAGAAGCAGCTTAGTCATGCTGGTCACATGACCCGGAAGCTGTACACTGGCTCCCTCCGCCAATAAAGCAAGATGAGCGCTGCAACCCCAGAGTCATCTGCGACTGGACCCAATGGTCAGGGGTCCCTTTACCTTTACCTTTAAGAGGGGCATAAAGCTATAGCAAGAAATGTAGATCATCAAGATCTGAAGGGAGAAACATATAGGATGATTTTTTTCCCATTATGGAAAAAAGGAAAATGTAACCACAAACATAACTGGCACATGGTCAAATATTCCACTTTCAAACTTCGGTTGTATGCTACCAAATATATGCAGTGACTTTGAACTCTTTGGGTAAAGAGCAAGGGTAAACACCTGACAAATAAAAATAAAATACTCAGTATTCATAGTGTTGTTCAGTCAACCTGAACTTTAAAAAAGAATGGAGTTTTGTTTAAATGTCACTCTAAAGACCCTAGAAATGGAGGTATCGTTCTAATGAAGGCAGATGTGCATGTTGCTAAGCAACAGCTCACTGCATGGAATGAACTCTAAGACAGAATAGGTATGTTTTAAGGTATCTCTTTCACTGTTCTGTCATTATGAGAAAGCTTTTGCTAAATCTTTACAGCAGTGCACTAAGGAATAAAGGAGACGCACGGCTCTTAGTAAGCTGCTTTTTGTCAGGCCAGACTATTTGTCCTCCTGGCCCAGAACTGTCTACTTTGACAATCAGTGGCTCTCAAAGGTCTCAGCAGAGGTCTTTCCTGTAAACTTAAACTGGAGATGCCAAAGATTGAACCTACGACCTTTTGCATACAAAGCTTGCACTCTGTGACTGAGCAATGATCTCTCCATGTGTTAGAAAACTAGCATTGTGCAAGGAACTGTGCAAGAAGTCTCAGCATATGTCAGTGGCGTGCAATTCCTAAATTAAACCACTGCATAATACAGCCAGAAAATGTTAAGCGCTAGGGGTGGCATCCAATGTAATGTCAGCATACTTCCACTTCTGCAGCAGAGTCCTTTCTCTCTTCCACCCACAATCCTTCTGTGCCCAACTCAAATTTGCTCTGGATGGTCCCCCCCCCAACCCTCCAGAGCAGATTTTTTAGGAGACATAGGGGCCTGTAGGGGAAGAGAAAATCTGTTCTGCTCACAGACAAATATAATTGGATTTCACCCTTGGATGTTACCTTTTGTTGGTTTAGCTGGGATTCGGATCACAGTGGGTTTGCGCACAACAGCTGGTTGAACCGCCTGTTCTTTTGCAGGCTCTTGTTTGGAGGGCAAAGTGACAACATCTAAGGAAAACACAAAATTCAGCATGTTATCTTGCTCCGGTTCCAGAGAAAATGCCATAAACTTCATTCATTATGGAAATGTTGCTGAAAGGATAAATCTGTACCCTTACTGTGCATTAATTCTGTAGCCATCTTGACTGTGAAGACATGCAGAGGTTTTTGTATGGGGGGAGGGTTACCCCTGAAGACAATTCTACCCTTTGTTCCTGAATGTCTGCTGAAGGTCACCTATGGCCCTCTCATTTGAACTAAATCTATGTTGCTGTATCAAATGATTCTGTGCGGAAAAACTAATTGATTTACTTTTGTCATTTCCATTTCCAGAACTGGATTAGTGACAAAAACTTGCTTGTAAACAACTCTAAATACAGTCATACCTCGGGTTACAGACGCTTCAGGCTGAGTTTTTTTGGGTTACGGACCACCGAAACCCGAAAGTACCGGAACAGGTTACTTCCGGGTTTCAGAGTTTGCGCATGTGCAGAAGCGCTAAATCGCGCTTTGCACATGCACAGAAGTGCCAAATTGCAACCCGCGTGTGCGCAGATGCGTCGCTCATGGATCACATTCGCAACCCGAGCGTCCACTGTAAAACAAAACATTGAACATAGGAGGCTGTCTTATAGCGTGTCCAGACCAGGCCCAGGCAGACAGCTAGGTATACTTGCCCCAGGCCTCGGAGGGCTAAGTTGGCTGGGGGCTCTTGCCAGGGACCGGCTGCATTTTTGTGTTGAGTTTATAACTTTATTCTAACAAGCCTACAACCCTGCCGCCCCTGGCTGGGCCTCAGACAAGCTCTGCATGACCTGAGTCAGGCCACTAGTTCATCTTGCTCAGTACTGTCTAAAGTGACCAGCAGCAGCTTTGCAAGATTTCAGGCAGGGTTCTCTCCCAGCTTGACCTGAAGATGCCAAGGATGGAACCTGGGGCCTCCTGTATCCAAGGCATGTGCTCTACCCCTGAGCTATGGCTCCTCCTAAGAGATCTATCGCTCTGAGTGCCTTTGGGAGGAAGGGAAGCATGTACACTGAATTAATTATGAATGATATGCTCAGGGCTTCTGTCCTAAGAGGAATTTCCACTGCCCTGCCTTTCTGTTCTCCTTCTCCAATTGACACCTAACAATCCATGGCTAAGGATCATTGTGCTATATTTACTAGCAGCTTTATCAAGGTTTTGGGGGTGTTTTTTTAAAAGAGTTTTGTTTATTTCTGCAAACCTTGGGATTTCTCTGAACATGCTGATATCTCCTTATTTCTCGTGGGTGGTGGGTTTTATAATTAAGTGTATAATTATGCAGCTGTTGTAATTTAGATATTATATTTTATGTGAGAGAATCATTGGGAATTTTGGTTATTATGTATATATGTTAAGTTTCAATAAAGATATTTGGGGGTGGGGAAAGATATCTCCTTATTTCTCAGTGGATCCATTTTAAACTTCATTCCTGTTGGCACTTGCCATCTAAGTGTGTTATTAGAGAGACAAACGCAGCTGCAAACAAAGGGGCTGGCAACCTATAAATACTCAGTGCTATCTTGAGCACAATCCATAAAAATGAGAAAGCAAAATGCTTAATGCACTCGCTAAAGACTTTTCTCTAGCAATAATCTGATTCTATTTAGGAGTGTGAACTTCACACAGGTTGGAGCTGACTACCTTTACTAACAAAGGGTTATTACTGTATGAAGCTTTGAGAGCACAGTGTAAGACTAAGAAGGGGCAGTATGCAATTTTCCTAAGAAGTATTCCCTGCCCCCAAATGCTTTTTGCCACATTTCTATAAGATATTAAGGTGCTTCCTATCTTTCCTACAGACTACAGATGCAGAATATCCTACCCTCTTTCAGTGTGCTCTATTCCTATTTTGGCACCATTATCTAGATCAGGAATGGAGAAACCTGTAGCCTTCTAGATGTTGTTGAATTACAGTTCTCATGATCTCCAACCATTGGCGGTGCTGGCTGGGGCTATTGGCAGTTTGAGTCCAGCAATATCTGGAAGACCACATGTTTGCCACCGCTGAGCAAGACATACTGAGCTCCCTGCCCTGTGCATAGCAACAAGCACAAACAATAACCCCACAGTATTATAATAATTATTATATCACGATATAAGCTTTTCACAACCATGGCGCCCAAGACTTCTAGTCACCACCTCTCTGCAAAATATATGCTGACTATGATGAGAGAAGGTGCATATGGCTTTTCTCCTTCAGTACACTGCTGTGCGATGCATGTTCCATTTCCATATTTAATCTGATTTAGAAGTACAGCAATAAAAAAAAACAAAAAACACCATTAGACTCAAGGTACCGGTTTCAAGTATATACAAAAAACCATCAACAGTTCATTTCCTGCTGTAATCTGCCAAGGCCTCATTAAGGCAATAAGGAAAGGAAGTTGTAGTACATCAAAATTCCATCTACTTATTCACTGCACAGCACATAATAAGAACACACAATCCTTAAACATCATTAATACAGACTCATTTGTGACAACTATACCCTATTACCAGCGCAGATTTACAACCCACACAACTGAAAGCATTTAGTAGTAAATGAGGCAAGAAGCTAAAATAGCCTCCCCCCTTCAGTTTTGAAAACACATTCTCTGCATGAAATCTACACAATATTATTGGGGGAGGGGAACCATATGGCCCCTATAAAGTATTTGGAAAACTATGAGCAAGATCCTATTGCAGCATCTGATGTGTAAATAGAATGTCCCCTCCCTCCTGTGCACCCCTAAAATCTGCTGTAGAGCATTAGGGGACCCTCCAAAGCAGGTTGGGAGGTGGGGAAAGTTCTCGTTTGCTGGCGTGACACTGGATCTTGTCCTGTATGTTTCTTCAAATAAGAAAGAGTGCCACTTCCCAAGAAACAATTGGAAGTGCATATTATTATTATTATTATTATTATTTTATTTGGAAGGTACATACTACTACTACTACTGCTACTACTCTTGTCTACTTGATTTATTAGTCATTTACTACAAAAAGGTCTCTAAGTGACTAACTTTAAAGTCCTGATTGCTCTTTCGCAGCCACATCCTTACCTGTCCCATACCTGATGTCAAGTGTGATATAGGTGAGCGTGGTTTGGGAAAACAGACTAGTGGGCCAAATTAGGACTCTGGGCTGTGGATTGGTGGTTCTCCACCACTGCTGTAATAGGAAGAAGCAGCACTTTCCATTCTGAGCCCTGGCAGTTTTTCTGTTTTTATTTTGCAGCTGACACTCAACATTCAATGGCTTCTGAGCATGCTCAGTCTTCATTGGGCTGTGTTTTGGGTTTGTTTTTGTGTGTTTTTTTTTGCTTTTGCCACCATAGGGTTTGGAGTTTTGTTATTAACTGCAGAACTCTCCTGTACTGCATATCTCACTAGGCACATTTGGATACCCACTGGGGAAAAAGTAGGGGTCTTCTCCCCCTATCTCTTATATTTCTCCTTTCCTTGAACCTTTCAGCAGCATTTAGATTTTTGTATGAGTCAGAAAGCAGTAATTTCACACATAAAAATTCACAAAACACACCGAATATAAAAATTATGAAACATATCAACCGTGTTCCTCTGAATGGAGGGATCACTACTGTTGCCATGTGATGAAAGTGATCTCTCAAAAGATCAACATGTAATGGCACTTTTATACTTAACACAAATGTATCCTCATGCAAAGAATGCCTGCAAATCTTGTGCTATAAATCTATAGAGGCTAAATGCTAGATAAACTAATGTCTCGTTAAAGTTTCTAACTACAAATGTGTGTGTGTGTGTGTGTGTGTGTAAAATCTACTCAAAATGTCACAATCATTCTTACAAGCAAGGGTAATTTTAATTGGGCACTCCCAATACACATATATGCTATTTATTCAGTGTACTTAGCAACTCACACTCTAAACTTCTTTGAACACCAGCTCCTAGTCCCAAGGCAAAATTCTCACTTGCTTTCGGGTCTCAAGCTTTCCTTCAGTACAATTTATATATAACCACTACATAAATGTACATTACTACATAAATGTAATTCTTGAAACCATCAAACATGGATCAGTTGTTTTGCCAATGTTCCAGTAGCCCTGTTTTTTTCAAATCTATTCCTATAACCAAGAGCATTGCTGCCAGAAGCCAAATAAATACAAGATTATATTGAATAACATCATATAAAATTTAAGAAGACAGGAATAAAAATAGAGAAAAAGAACAGAAATACTCTTTTTTGCATTTAAAAATTAAAACAAGAATGATTTAGGGAATTGTAAAGCAAAATTATTTTAAACATATACTAAAGGTACAAGTCCATATCTACATTGCCTGAGATGAAGTTGAAATACATTAGGAGAATATTATTTTACTGGTAATGTTTCAGTTCCACTACCCTAAAAGCCTGCAAGCTTATGGAATCAAACTTTAATTCCAGATTCTAGGCAGACACACTCACCTGTATACAGCTCAAATGAATGAATTTTGACCTTGATTTGATAGGTTTCCCAAACATAGCAATGTTGTGATAAAAACAGGCATGCATATTCAGAACTGTAATCATTCTTAAAGGAAATCCTTCCCTCTTCTTAAATCTTACCGGATTCTGACGGCGTAAGTTCCTGAGGAGTCCCGGCTGAGTTAGGGGGTAAAACATCATCATCAAAGCTAATCAGATCTCCTTCCGCAGGTGGCTTGCCCTGCCCCGGAGGTGCTGAGAGGCTGCTTGCAGAGGGCTCCGCCAGGGATCGAAAGGCATTAGACTGGGCAGCTACAGAGAGCCTAGGAGTAGCACTTATTGGCTTCAGTGGAAGCATAGGAAGAGCAGGACTTTCAAAAGAAACCGACTTCTTGGGAACAAGTGGCCGAGGAGCAGGAATGGGGGATTTTCTCTGTCCATTACTATTTTCTGAAGCTGACTGGCTTGTTGAACTAAGCAGTCCATTGCTACTGCTTTTTACAATGCCTGATTTTGGTTTCTTTGGCAATTCAGGCTTGGTTATGTTGCTCCCAGCTTCCTGAGGTTGTGGTTGCCTTTCCTGGGGAATGACCTTTAGTTTGCTTTCTGTCCACGAATCCCACTCACCTGAAGCTCTGTTGGCCACTGGCTTTGGTGCCACCACAGGTTTTTTTGCACTTATTATGGGTTTGGGGCCTAAGGAGCGTGGAGATATTTCTGGCTTCTTTGTTTCGGTGTTTGCTTGCGATTCAAAAGCTTTAATCCGAGATAGTATGCTACTTTGGCTCTTATCTTTATCCATACTGTCCATATGAGTGTCCCAAAGGCTGTCATCTAGTAAGGACAGCAGCTGAATTGCCGGTGTGTCCTTTTCAGTCCTCGACTGGCTTGCTTCTTCCTGATTGTCTTGTGCGTTGCTTTGAGTATCTCTAACAACAGGTTTCAGATTGCCTTTTGATCTTGGTTTTGGAACAGGACATATTACAGCATTAGGCTTCTCCTGACATGCCTGCTCCTCTTCCAACACAACTAGAAGTTCCTCATTTTTTGAAGGATTGCTGATCAGCAGAGATGATGAAGGTCTAGGTGGCTTTCGAGGAATTGGTACAGCTGCAAAACAAAATGGTACCTCCAATTCATTGGACAAATTTTAGAGGGGGAAAAGATACAAGATCTTATTTTTTAAAAAGCCACTTGCAGATTGCAAACACCATCTAAAAAGAGGCATTATTCATTTTCTCACATGGAAGGGAAGGCTATTCTTTTCAAGAAAATGCCTAACACAACACAGACATAAAAACAAAGAAATAGGTTTCTTCCTTCAGAACAATAGTTTTCCACCTATATGCAAATTTAATCTAGCAACTAATAAATTCATAGTAACCAGCTAAGCTTTCTTTTGTTGTGTGGCATCCCTAATTCTGCTACATCTTAACTAATCACATTTATTTATGTCACTTTCCCCCCTGTGATGCCATTAATTCGTTTTTGTGAGCAGTGGTTTGGCTCTTGTCGGCGCATGTTCACATGCAAGTCATTTGTGTGAATGGGCTCCAGTTGTGAAAACTCAACCGCAGCAATGCAACACACGCATAGAGAGATACTGCATTGGTCTGAACTGGATCTCCAACAACTCTTTAGGGAACACTTCATAATAGGATTTGCCTCATACAGCTGAACCCACGCAGCTGCTTTTAAATGTAATTCAGCTACAATTAAGAGTTATATACCTGGAGTGCTTTCGCATTCACAGAGACCGTGCAGATTACTTTTCACATTTGTTCCTGGCAAGTTGCTGATTATCTCTTCTGGAAAGTCAGTCTGTGTTGAAGATGTAGTGGTGCATCTAGCATTAACAGCACTGGAAGCATTATTGTTGCTAGGAGTGTTGACTTGCACTCGATTGATCTCTTTGATTACTTGCTCATAGGAAGGGGGCTGCAAAAGAAACACATGCAAATTCCACATGGCATGGTTTTGTTTCGCAAATGGAGCATTTCTGCATGCATACAAATCTGTCCCATGCCCCAAGCGCTGAGGATAATTATTAATTCTGATATTGAAGTCATATCACTGTATCGTAGTCACCACATTAAAATCAGCCTAGAGGGAAACCCTCAACTTCCTCACCTCGGCTGAAACAAGGTCATTTGTTCTCCAAGGGGCCTGGGTGTGAGACGACTGGAAACCTAGCCCTTGCTGAGGGACATGATTTCCACCAGGAAACCAGGAGGATGGCCCAAGCGGCTCAGCTGCAACTATTGTGATTTCAGGGCGCCTGAAAAAGGTAAAAAAGAAAGATTAAACCAATGGCTATTGATGTAATTTGGAGATGTATTTTATGTAGATCTTCAGCACAGGACCCCTCTGGGCACCCAGTCTATCAAACAACAGTTTCCTAAGGTAAAGGTAAAGGGACCCCTGACCGTTAGGTCCAGTCATGGACGACTCTGGGGTTGCGGCACTCATCTCACTTTACTGGCCGAGGGAGGCCGGTGTACAGCTTCCGGGTCATGTGGCCAGCATGACTAAGCCGCTTCTGGCGAACCAGAGCAGCGCATGGAAACACTGTTTACCTTCCCGCCGGAGCGGTACCTATTTATCTACTTGCACTTTGATGTGCTTTCAAACTGCTAGGTTGGCAGGAAACAGTTTCCTACTTTCTGCAAATAACCAAGAACTCCACAGATATCAACAGAGTTCTCGAATCTTTGCCCTCTGTCATTTTGATTACCATACATTTTGATGTGTCCACCCATGAAAGACCATAAGAATTCTAAAAGCAAATTATCTGGGGTTAAGAGCATCTGTTGCTATGGTACTTGGAGAACTATTTTGTGGCTTCGGCAATGATACATCTAGACACTACCAAAAGATCGCCTACGGAGGGTGATTTCAGTCCTTCTTTTCACACACTGGAATTCATTGCATGCTCATGAACCCCTGCAATATACAGAGTATTTATCTCCTAATAAACCACCCATGATAATATTAAGTATTTGCATTTCAAATTATGTATTTCATACTTAAGAAGAGTAACGGAGTCTACAGGATGAAAACAGACAGCATCACATAATGGTATTAACAGGTTAAAGAGCACAGGAATTACTTTGCACTGCAGCTTAAAATATTATCGCTAGAAAAATGATTTATTATGAATATTACAAAATTATTGTTCTTTAAAATATTGGTTGACTGATAGTAAGTCCTCCTATGAACTCATATGGGAAAAAAAAACAAAAATAAAAAACCACCTGCACTTGCTATAAAGGCTAAGGCAACAATCGAACAGCTCAAGTTTTACAACGAAAAGTTTTTATATTGTGACATTTGGGTAAGCAAACAGGAGGAAAGTAGCAAGTGAAGAGAAAAGGAAAGGAAAAGAAAAGGGGGAAATGTGAGAAGTCAAGGGAATGCAAAACCAAAACATGTAAATGTAGATTAGTTGTCCCTTAGCACACTTTTGTACTTGCAGAAGAGAAAGATGGATAAAAAGATGATTTTCCACAACCTTTTAAAATCATGTTTGCCAAGTGGCAGGTTTAGGAACAGGTGAGGTTCTTCCTGGTTACCGTAATTCCATGTCATTAATCTGGAACAAAAGGTTGTAGAAGCATGCATCAGGAAGCAGCCAACACAATCTGAGTGGTGGGGAGTTCCAAAGGAACTCAGCATAGGAAACAGGGCCAACTCTTTACACACTGAGGCATACTTTCAGTTAATTCAGTCCAGTGCATACTCTACTGGAAGAGTAACAGGTTTTAAAATAATTTTTACAAGGCAAATGTGTTTGTGTGAGAGAGATAAAGAAACACGAGCACAGATGAGAGAGAAAGAGAGACCAGTTGACAACAAAAGCAGGATTAGACATACATTCTCAAACACATTTTATTACCAGGAGAACTGAATGAAATATCAATTATCACATCCTACCTTCTCTCTCTTTGCTGTTCACTGTGGCCAGATGTCCGAGAAGCTAGTTTGAAAAGACGTCAACAGTTAATTTGGTCTAGTACAGGCATAACATTTATATTTCAATACCCAAATTCTTGCCAAATTACTGGGGGAAAAACCTGATTGTAGTGAAATTTGTTTATCAGTAAAATCATTCACAGGGATTGTTAAATTCAACATAAAATATGTTTGTTAAGGCTAGTCCTTGAATGGCATCTCGACTGAAATTAAAAGAATTTTCGCAAAGCACACCTCATGGTTTGGAGGACAACATAAAAATGTTAAATCCGAAACTGGTTTTGTAACGCGGTATTAAAAGACAAGGCTGCACGCTTGAACAACAAGATTATGAAAAAATACAGAAGCAACGCTCCAGTCCAGTGCGCATACAGATCTCTTGAGCTTGTCAGGAAGCCAGATTAATTTCCAAGAGAGAGAGAGAGAGAGAAAATCTTTAATTGCAAAAGTATGTGTGCCCAGAACTGCTTTCCATCATTTAAATTATTGAGAGAATGCTTTAAATGGAGGGTATCTGTATGAAATTCACAATTCCCTCTTGGAAATCACAAAATTTGGGGTGCTTACATTTTAATCCAGACTTCTAAATTTAAAAAGAGTGTGTGTGTGTGTGTGTGTGTGTGTTGCTCTGTACATTCCCACTCTTCAGAAGTTCCTCCTAATATTCTTCTTCTCAAAAGACAGAGAGGGAGCCCTGCAGTCACTGCAGCTCTATTATATATCAGGTTCTATCACGATTATTGAACAAAGTTAATGATAGTTATGTTTTTAATGCATTTTTATTAAGTAAAACAATCCCACTACAGCAGGTACAATATAGTACCACGCAGATGTTTTGGACTACAACTTCCATCAGCCCATCATCATGGCCAATGGTGAGGATGTTGAGAGCTGTACATAGTCCAAGCATCTCTGCCTCACCTCAACCTATTTTTATTAGCATTATTTAAACCGTACTTGAATGCATCCTTTTACATAGGTCTCATATAAATAATACAACAAAGAATTAACCAGGAGGATGCTTCTGCAGCAGTGGAATTTAAGAGAGCAAGTTTGGTCTTCTCGTGCAGAAGCAAGCTACCCTAATTACGCCACTGCAGATGGATCAGCAAAAATCAGCAAAGCAGCAGCTGGGAAAGGACAGCGCAGACATACCTCTTCCACGGGGCATATTTGATGTGCACTATTCATGAGTGCTGAAGGAAAAAGAGAAGGGGTTAAAGCAGAGGAAAGAAAGAATAAACCATGCTAGTAGTAAAGATCCACTGGGTTTCTATTGTTAGTCACACAAAGACGTCACTGTAGTATTCCCCCTGCCTCCAAGGAACACTCCAGCAATCATTTGCCAATTTTAAAATTTAGAAAAAATATTATATATATATATATATATATATATATGGACGCGGGTGGCACAGTGAGTTAAACCACAAAGCCTAGGACTTGCCGATCAGAAGGTTGGTGGTTCGAATCCCCGTGATGGGGTGAGCTCCTATTGCTCGGTCCCAGCTCCTGCCAACCTAGCAGTTCAAAAACACGTTAAAGTGCAAGTAGATAAATAGGTACTGCTCCGGCAGGAAGGTAAACGGTGTTTCTGTGCGCTGCTCTGGTTTGCCAGAAGCAGCTTAGTCATGCTGGCCACATGACCCGGAAGCTGTACGCCAGCTCCCTCGGCCAGTAAAGCGAGATGAGCACCGCAACCCCAGATTCGGCCACGACTGGACCTAATGGTCAGGGGTCCCTTTACCTTTATATATATATGGGGCTTCTTTCTCCACCTCAAAAGAAATCAGAACCTTCCTATTTGGTTTAACAGTAGAATTCATCAGGTTCAACTGACCTTGCTTTGGAGTTCCCAGGAATAAAAAAAAGTTATCTAATATGATTCAAAATTGCTGTGCTTGATTCTGCTATTCAAATGAATGGCAACAGGCCACTGGAGATAAAAGGATTGTTTTAAGCAGGTATCAGCAATAGATCCTTAGGTCCTTCTCTTATTGACCTTTAGTCAATAAGAAGCCTTCTCCAGAAGCCTTTCTGGATTTAGATGAGGATTTAAAAACATTCCTTTTATGCCGCCCTTTAACCTTATACTCACTGACCAATGGGACTATGTTATGCTTGATGTGACACTGTACATCGCCCATTCTAGGAACCTGTTGACTTATAAAGCACTGAACTGGCTGCCAGTGAGCTATTGGGCCCAATTCAAGGTGTTAGAATAAAACCCTGAATGACTTGGGGCTCAAAGAGTACCTCCCCCAGTATCAATCATCTCGGACCCAATGAGCAGCAGATCAGGCCTTGTTGGAGGCACTGCCCAGTTGACACTGACTCACGGCAAGGCCTCTGGTGGTTCCCCATTTGCAGAATACCATCTCTAGTGAGGTGCTTCTGTCACCATCATAATTAACTTTGAGGATGTATTTGAAACCATTTCTGTTTACCCAGGCATTGGGTGGCTAAAATATACTGGTCCTCACAACCCAAATATCACTGGATGGGGCAATGTTTTTAGCTGTAACCATTTTTAGAATGCTTTAACTGCCTTGCAATTTTGTTTTGTTTTTCTTTTAAGTTGTGGATCTGTTTTCTGAGCTCCTTTGGCAGGAAGGGTGGGATATGAATTCAAATAAATAATAAATACTCTTATTTCTGAAGCAGAAGTTTTTTCTAGTTTTTGTTCTGCAGCCTGGTTGGCATTGATATCAAGAGATGAAGGCTGGGAGTTCAGAGTATGCCTTAAGACCTGAGCAGGTACTTTGCAATTTTTCCTGGATTCAAACCTTCTCAAATCAATGCTGAAGCTGCTCCCAGAAAACTGGGTCCAGACACATACTTTATAACAAGCCAAACCACATCTTAACTTAAAGCAGCACAGTATGGTCTTTAATTTCTATGGGATATGGATTAAGTTGTGTATAAGCAAGTGGCATCAAAGTATTACCAATATCAGTTGCTACTAAAGGGCAGTTCATAATATTATCCATGGGGAAAGGAACTTTGATGCATGATAAAAGGAATGTGAAACATTGTTCTTTGCAGGCCAATTTATTCAATATCCAGAACAGGAATCCTGTAGCAAACATAGGTTTTTTAATACCGGATTTTCTATACATCTTAATATGTTATTTTGATACCTAATTTTATGAAACTGTATTTAGTTCACCTAAAAAGGTAAAGGTAAAGGACCCCTGACAGTTAAGTCCAGTTGCATACGACTCTGGGGTTGCGGCGCTCATCTCGCTTTACAGGCCGAGGGACCCAGTGTTTGTCCGCTCCACAGACAGTTTTTTCTGGGTCATGTGGCCAGCATGACTAAGTCGCTTCTGGCGCAACAGAACACTGAAACCAGAGCAGTGCACGGAATGCTGTTTACCTTCCTGCCGGAGTGGTACCTACCGGTATTTATTTACTTGCACTTTTTGGCGTGCTTTCAAACTGCTAGGTTGGCAGGAGCTGGGACTGAGCTCACCCCGTCGCAGGGATTCGAACCGCCGACCTTCTGATTGGCAAGCCCAAGAGGCTCAGTGGTTTAGATCACAGCGCCACCTATCTACAGAGTAATAATAGGGACCAAAAACTAGAGTAACTCTTGGACACAGGCAAAAAAAAAGTTTGGAAAAAGTTGTTTTTATATGGAATCAGTCATGGGGAATACATTTGTGATCCATGCAAAATATGGTTAGTGCAAGACAAAACAAATGAAACAAGGGAAGTAATTCCTGGTAAGCATTAACTCCAGCTAGTTAGAGAGAATGAAGTACTGATATAAAGAACGGGAGAGTTCAGAATCGTTGATTGAAAAGGGAGAAAGAAAATGGGATAGTTTCATTTCAAACTTGGCCAGACTTGGGTTAGCCTGCAGTTCATTCATCAAAGTAGGGTGTGATCCCATCCCACATACTAAAGATGGCATAGGCCGTATTTCAATCTTCTTGGCCAGAGCTGCTTCATCTTTACTCATGCCAGAGTACTGTTCGTACAGCTGGGAGAGGTGGCAGGCAGGCACTTAGAGAACTTCCTTCCTTGAAAGGAGTTGAAAGGAGAAGAAACTCTCTTTGGAAGAACCTTCTTCTCCCAACACAAACAGGTCTAGCCTGTATGTGAGTGACTTTTCGAAATACTGATGTAACAGTGCTCCTGACGTAGTTCTACATCATACTTCCTCAACCTCGGCCCTCCAGATGTTTTTGGTCTACAACTCCCATGATCCCTAGCTAGCAGGACCAGTGGTCAGGGATGGTGGGAATTGTAGTCTCAAAACATCTGGAGGGCCAGGGTTAAGGAAGCTTGTTCTACATTGCCTGAGAAGGAGGAGGATAGTTTTATGTCGAGCCAAAACGAAGTGGAGCAGCATTGCTCCCACTTTCTGTCATGCATTGGTGAGAAGAATAGAAAATGGCCTTTAATGTAGCCGCTTAGGATGGGGAGAGAAAGTAAGGACATTCCATTAGCTTGCCTAGACAAGCTACCACCCAACCCTTGCTTTCTTGGACTCCCAACAGAAGCCAACCATTCTGCTTAGCAGGGAGGGACAGACCTTTCCTTTCAACCACTTTAACTTAGCAGCCTGTGCTCCTTTAAGCTTCCCACAGGCACAGTGGTGAGCCATGGTGGGTAAATAATGTGAGACAAGATCAGTCTGGCTAGGCTCTTATGTTCTTAAGAACCCCTGAATTTGTACACTCCCTCTTTCTCCTCCCTCTCTAGCACAGCAGTGAGGAGGAGTTTGGAAACTTTCACTTCCAGTTCAGACTAATTGGCCGAGTCCTTTGAGTATTTATCTTAATTGTGGAAGCAAGACAACTTCAAGCCACGGTGCAGGTAAAGAAATGTTAGTTTGGCAGCTACTTCTCAACAACTACAAGACAAAACAAATGCATTTGCAATCTGCTTAATGAAGCTAGAATCATTTTCGTTGTCATAAAAGTTAAGACACCTGCTCAGAAGGTGTAGAGAGCAGTCTGAAAGTATACTTACTTCTCTTGATTGCTGCTTTAATGGATGACAGGGGGCCTTGGCTTGAAAAGGAGAAGACAACAAAACAAAACAAAATATCAGTACCCATTGTCCTAAAAGGTAACAGAAAAACAGGGGGGAATTCTTCTACACGCATCCCTAATTATCACTACCTATAAAATTGTTCATTTTGTAGCGAACTGAAATTCTAGTTAATTTACTGAAGTAAATAAAAGTAGGGAAACTACTGTGGAATCATTGCACAATACCAAAAGAAGACCAGTCTTATCTCTTTCTGATAATTTTAACAAGTGTGGTTGATTGCAGTTCAAAGTCATTTTTTCCAGCTACGATGACATTTTCCATTTACTACTTCCTTCAAAAGCCCTCATTCCTTTAATGGGAAATTTAAAAAAAGTATTCAATGGAAAATCCAGAGGATATGGTGCAAGGAAAAATGGAACTATGTAGAACTATTCTTTCCAACAATGGGCTCCATCTCCCCTATACCGGTGTGTGCTAAGGCTCCTTTATGAGCTCAAGCTTGCCAACACCTGTTTATAGGAGCAAAGTTCACAAACTGACCAAAACTGTCTATGGAAAGCCCCAGCAAAGATGTAGGGATTGTTCCATTGGGTACTGGAAAAGCTGTATGCATCCAATCTTAAAACCTGCTGCTTCAGGAAACCAGTATTTTAATGGGGTATGCAACAGCTTGAAACAAGACATTATACTCAGGGATAAATCTTAGGAATAAGGCAGGGATTGCTCTGAGATAATGAGCACTGGCAGCCTCAGTCTCTTTACTTAATTTGGAATAGAGAGCTATTTCCCCCCATTATTACAATAACAATTACTCAACTTTTGGTGTGTCAGGCCCCCCTGACCTCACATGGAGAAGGCAATAAAAAAAATCCTTCTTTCACTGTTCTACCTCTGTACCCCTATGAGTTCTTGATGTCCTAGTCATTTCAGGACTAAAAATTTAAATTCCATATCTATCTTACAAGGATAAAAGTCCTATTTTAGGCCTGTTCAGTACTAGGTTCAGTTTTTATTTTCTTTGCCTCAAGGAGGAGAAAAGCAACCAGATCCAAAACATAATAACAGATCCCAAAGACTTAACCATTTCCCCCTGTACAACTGAGGCACAAGCAAAACGTATTTTAATTTCCTTGCCGCCAGAGTGAAGAGCAACAGAGTCTGGGACAGTCAGTGCCTTCCCTTTTAAATAAACTTCAGTTTTGTATTCCAAAACGCGGGAAGAGATTTTAAAAAAAATCTCCTGCTCTAAATGTGAGCAGAAGGTCTGCCAGATCACTATTCTCTCATGCAACAGAATTAATGCTAGAATTCTTAAGATGGGACAATGGAATGCAACACTTCAGACTGAAAGTGCAGTAGCACATTTTAAGAACGTAAGAAGAGCTCTGCTAGATCCGGCCAATGACCAATTGAGTCCACCATTCTGCTGAAGCATGCAAGCAGAATCCAACAGCCCTCTCCCCTCCTGTGGTTTCCAGCAACTGGTATTCAGAAACATACTACCTCTGACAGTGGAGGTAGAACATTGAAAGTAGACAATGTTTTTGAATGCTCCTTTATTGAACCCCCAGCTCCCTGCAAGCAGAAAAGTAGCACAACAGGCAGCAGGCTATATTAGAATCAGATGTGTTTTCTTATTTTCTTACAGGATTCCTTTCCTGCCACACCCCCCAAAAATGGTATTCTCACCATCGATCACAAATGGTACGGTCTGCCAGCTCCAGGCAAAAATCAGATCCTGTGATGCAGACGAAAGGATCTTTCCCCTCAACAACAACACACACAAGCCTCACAAACCGGAGCTGCTCATTTCCAAGCAACAGGGGAGAAAACTATGCCAAAACATCTGTTGATGTTCCCATGATGACCGAGAGGGTTAAACAGCCCTGTGATTGATTTGAGTTGGCTTTCACAGGAGTGAGTCATTGGGTGGTTTCTTGGCCCTTTACCTCTTGCACAATTCAATCTATAACTCCAGTTAAACTTTAGTTTGCAAATAAGGGTCGTAAACATTTTTTACTTTCTGTATTCTATATACTTTCTGTTTCCATTGTATACCAATATTCCTGTGAGTGTATATAATTATGTATTGCCCTTCGTGAGTGTTAGCTGCAATCTACCCTGATTACTTTAGCTTTTAAACATTAGTTCAAGCTTGAATAGTTTGTGGTTTCAGCACACTATTAAAAGGCTCACATTAATCATAAGCCCTCACCCATTTCAACATTGTGCAACAATAACAGTAATCATTGGGATAAAAGCTTTATATTAGACACCATGGGTTGCACACCAACATCACCACAATAACACAGATGTGTCTTGGAAACAATAACATCACACACACAAAAATGGTATTCCACCCAATTTGTGCGTAATAGAAAAGAAAAACAAAAACAAATTATTTTTAGCAACAAAGTCCCATGCCACTATAAAATGTTGACAGATTTATGATACCATGAAGCATAGTTTTGTGCACCAGAGCCCAACATGTCTTTGTCATGTGCAAAAAGGAGTTCTCTAAACGAGCTTGCAAAATCAACCAACCAGCAACCAGTTCCTCTTGCCTTTGAATTTTGTCTTTAAAGGAGACACTGTTTATGCTGCAACAGACTAACCTAGCTAGCCTTCTGGAATCTGTTACCAGTGATACTTTAAGATGAACCAGTATTTCAAAAAGCAAAAGTTATCTCTCCACACAGCAACAACTTGTTCCAAGTAGCTGCTGACTCAGTTGAGTTACACCCTTTATGGCATTAGAAACACAAACTTGTCAGAGTGTGACCTTTGAAGAAGATGCCTGGCTCAGAAATTCTAAATTGGTGTAATACAACCACACCTCTTCTAAACTTGCCTTTCCAGATGCAGCAACATTGCATGCAGAGCTGTACTAATGAAACGCCAAACTTTGCTGTGCTAACTCTCCATGACTACATTTCTACCATACCAGAAAGGAATATTCACCAGAAAGAAAAATACCTCTAACAAGGCAAAACCCTCTTACACCCCAACTTGAAATGCAGTCATCAAAATAGTTAATGTTGACTATCTTTCCTCCATTTCCACATACAGCAGGACAGCCAGAAATATTTAGGCTAAAGTAGCCCTATGAGCATCAGAGGCATCTGTCTGGGAGGAGGAAGAGGGCATGGGAAGATCAATATACCAACAACATGTCCCTGAACTGCATCTGATACCTGCTGTGGTCATGGAAATGAAATGCCAAATTACCATATTTTTCCATCTATAAGATGCTCCCATGTATAAGACACCCCCTATTTTGGGGGACTCAAATTTAAGAAAATGTGGGGAGATATATCCATGTATAAGATGCTCCCCTAATTTTTGACATTATTTTTTTAGGGGGGAAACCTAGTCTTATACACAGAAAAAGACGGTATGATAATGTATCATGTATCAAAATATACAAAGCAGAGGTGTCTCTTGGGCACTTAAATGTACTTTCAACGCAGCCTTTAGAAAGTAATTTTGCCTTCAGTTTCCTAAAATGTTAGCTATGAGAGGGCCTCTATTCTATGGTGTCAGGAGGTCATCAAATAATCTGCCTTGGAAATTCGCTTCTCTTTCTGTTCCAATTTATGCATTCCTAAATTACAGCTCTCCATTCATTTTAGCGATGCTTTTCAAACAAAACTCCAGTTATTTGAATGTCATCTGGACTAGATAATAATATACGGTACTGTATTATAAGGTAAAATACCAAGCAAGGAATCACAATTCTTTTTTTGTTCTGGAAAACTACATGTATCTCTAATAATATGCTGAAAGCAAACTGGAAAGAGGCTACAGTATTGTTTAGTATGCATCTTCTTAATGGAGCTGAATGTTCTGAAAAGTATTTCAAGTCACCCTTCCTGCGTATTTCTTAGTTCTCAATTGCATTTTGAAAATAACATTAAATAAGATTAATAGGTACAAAGATTATCTTTTTTAAAAAAAATAAATATTTCCATAGATTATACAGTACTCCACAGATTATATTTAACAAAGTGATTTCTGAAAGTACACTTTTCAAAACAAAAACTTTTGGGGATTCTTTAAATGTTAAGCTTTAAAAGAACTCAAATATATTTTGTTTAAAAAGCCAAAGGCAAGGAGATTCTAGTTCTAAGCTTAAGTGTCTGTTTAAAAAGTACAAATCACTGGGTTGTAGCCAACTGGAGTGGGAGACCCTCTGGAACAAACTTTTTCTTGGGGACGGGTTAGAGAAGACAGAAAAGGGGGACCTCTTTGCTTTAACTTGCTTACTGATGACCTGATGACGTTTCTTCAGAGAGCACTCATCTCTCAAAAATGTTTTCTAAATGGCACATTATGAGTGAGGTTACTACAAGGCAAGATGGGGAAAGAGGCCAAAGTTCTGCAGCAATGTGGAAGAGAAAGAAAAGCAGTGTGGAGGTGCAAAATAGCCAACTAGACAGACACCAGGACCGTCTTCAGCAGGTGTGGCGCCAGGGTGCAAATATCCGCCCAGTGCCCCCAAATTACCACGGATAGTATTGGGGTGGCCGTAGCTGCGCACTGCCAGCCATGGGGTGGGGGCGCAACTCTCCCCCATGCCATTGCGGGAGAGTGATCCCGGCTTGGGAGTGAAGTTGCACCCCTCCTAAGACTCCATGGGAGGAGAGTGATCCCTGCAGAGGCTTGGGAGGGAAGCTGCGTGCCCGCCAGCCATATGGTTGGTGGGGTGCAGCTTCCATCCTAAGCCTCTGCGGGGATCGCTCTCCTCCCGAGGAGGCTTGGGAGGGAAGGTGCACCCCCGCCAGCCGTATGGTTGGCAGGGCACAGCTGGCGTGCGTGCAAGGAAAGGGGAGGTCGCCAGCAAAGCCGTGCAGCTCCACCACTTGCTGGGGCCCCTGAGAGGCCAGCGCCCTGGTGCAACACACCACTAAGCCCTATGGGAAAGACGGCTCTTATAGGTAAACTGCTCACAAGTTGTTAAGGGCTTTGTATACTCAGTTTTACTCATTTTGTATACTCAGTTTTACTCATGTTTATTCATTTTAGTGGGTCTACTCAGTTGAATACCACCTTACAGCTTGGTCATGCCCCCCCCCAATAGATTTCTCCCTACAGGATACTCCACCCTCCTTTAAGATTCTAGCTTTTCGGCTGACAGATGTAGAATTAAGTTTCTGCAAAAAACATTCCAAAACAACCCTCCTCGCCAGACAAGCAGACTGCCCATTTATGCCTTTGGTGTTATCACTTATATGAGCTGTATCTTGACAGAAACTTTTACAAGCACAAACCAATTGTCTAGACAAATTGCATCTCCAAAAGGATATGAGAGAATGTTACACTGAGGTCTACTAGGCTTTTGTGTTGAGCATGCTGCTTTATGGAAGTGAGACGTGGGCAACAATGCCTTCCACAAGCACTGGGTCAGAAAGATTGTGGGCATCACATCGCAGGAGAGAGTCTCAAACAAAGCTGCTCTATCCCAAGCCCACACTCCCAGCATGTTCACACTTCTGTCTCAGTGATGTCTATGTCAGCTTGGTCATGTACAGTGGTGCCCCGCAAGACGAATGCCTCGCAAGACGGAAAACCCGCTAGACGAAAGGGTTTTCCATTTCTGAGTTGCTTCGCAAGACGATTTTCCCTATGGGCTTGCTTCGCAAGACGAAACGTCTTGCTAGTCTTGCGATTTCCCCCCCGCTTCCCCCCCCTTTTCCTAAGCCGCTAAGCCGCTAATAGCCTTTTAGCAGCTTAGCCGCTAATCCTTTAATAGCCGCTAAGCCGCTAAACCGCTAACAGCGCTAATCCGCTAAGCCGCTAATAGGGTTGCTTCGCAAGACGAAAAAACCGCTAGACGAAGAGAATCGCGGAACGGATTCTTTTCGTCTTGCGAGGCACCACTGTATACAGAACGGAAGATGGCAGGATCAGCAAGGACAGGGAGCTGGCTTCAGGCACTAGGTCTGTTGGCAGAACAACTCTGCGTTACAATTATGTCTGCAAGTGTGACATGAAGGCTGGCAACATTAACCCGGATGCATGAGAATCCTTTGTAGACAATTGTGGTGCCTGGAGGCAGACAGTCAAGTCATGTATGCACAGCAATAACCAGAGGAGGAATAACTGTTGGGAGGAGCACAGAGAGAAAAAAACGCCAATAGCAGCAAAATTGGATGCCTTCATCTGCCCCCACTGCAACAAAACATGTATTTCCCGTATCGGTCTCCATACCCACAGCAGGCACTGAACTCTCCAATGGTTTGACTCTACACTCAAAGGTGCCTTCTTCCACTGTCTTCTGAGACAGATGATGCCAACAACAAGCATCATAGCTGACATACAATAAATACATTACAAATGTTTAGCATTCATTCCTGTGAATAGCATGCATATCACACTCAGAACCTCGTTAACTACCATTACTGGAAGCAGAAACAAATCCCTACCCCAGGTCACCCCAACCTGTTTCTGCTCTTTGGGTTTTTTTTAAAGCCTATGGCAATAGACAGTTCCTTGGCTCTTTCAACCGAACACTGTGACTCTAACATGGTGCACTGTGTTCCATCATTTTTCCGTATTAAAATCTGCATGATCAGGATGAATATTTATAAGAAACAGAATAAGTATGGAAACCTAATCCTAAAGATGAGAGGGATAGGGATAGTACAAAGCAGGAGAATGAGCAGCAGACATAGATCTCTTTGCTGCTTTATCGTTCCTCCTATTCTTTCCACCTCTGTGACAAGACAGAGAAAGCAAGGGGCATCATTTGGATACAGGGGCACAGCTATCTGCTCCAGCTGCTTTGTTGACAATATTGCCACCAACAACAGAGACCTGTGGTAAGCATGCATCATTACCCTGTTAGCACTTTTCAAAGGTCGGCCCTCTCCTAAAACACACAATTTGTTTGTCCACCACAGCTTAGACGAGTGCTGGCTGTGAGATTTGGCCAAGAGGAATTCGCTGGAGACTTTGGAAAAGAAGCCAAACTTAACTCGGCCCCAGAATTCAGTAGAGGAAAGGCCTTGAGAGAGCAGATGTCAGCTGACTATTGCGTGAGTGCAGTTTTCTCAGTTTCATATTCATACTGTTTCATTTATTCTCTCGCAAAAAGGGAGAGTTTGATTATGAAAATAGGAGTAAATGAGTAGGGGGCAGGAAGTGCAATGTTGTACAAAAAGTAAGAAGCAGGAGCAAAAGAAAGAACACGAACGTTTAGGATAAAATATAAGGGATGGTATCCAGTGCTGCACTGTTTTTGTCCCTCCCCAGCTCTGCCCCCTGCCCCCATCTGTTTCAGGTCTGGAGTGGGGAGGAGAGGAAGAAGAATCACAGAACTGTAGAGTTGGAAAGAAACCCAAAGGGACAAAATTCCATTGTACAGTGGTACCTCTGGTTGTGAACGGGATCCGTTCCGGAGGCCCGTTTGCAACATGAAAAGAGCGCAACCTGCAGCGGCGCGTCTGTGCACCTGCGGGTCGCGATTCGCCGCTTCTGCGCATGCGCGTGACATCATTTTGCGCGTCTGCGCATGCAGCGAAACCTGGAAGTAACCCTTTCCGGTACTTCCGGGTCGCCGTAGGACGTAACCTGAAAGAACGTAACATGAAGCGGACGTAACCAGAGGTATGACTGTATACACAAAAGTCCCTTGCACCTGCAGAGCTGCAGCATTAGATACAACCTCAGGTCTTAAAACAATTAGTTGAATTATTCTGAGGTAAACATGTAACCCAAATGAGAATCCAAAAGTTATGAGATGTTATTGATGTGCATACTCCTCTTATAGCTTAATGATTGGGTTTGGGGTTGTGGTGGACCTTAATGCTGAACTCCGATAATTACTGCCTAGTTTCACTCTTTTGCTTAAAAACAGAATTTACAATCACAGAACTGTAGAGTTGGAAAGGCACCCTGGGGGTCATCTAGTCCAACCCCCTGCAATGCAGGAATCTCAGTGAGATCATACATGACAGATGGCCATCTAACCTCTGCTTTAAAACCTCCAAGGAAGGAGAGTCCACTTGCTATTTCAATTCTTATATTATCAAAAAAATATTTGGTCACCAACTGTTAAATTTGTGCACCTTTTAAAGTAAGCCTTCTGTTTTTCCTGTACAGTGAAAAGAAAGTTAAAATGGGGGCAGGAAGTGGAAAGAGAACACATCTGGACCCTATGAAACATTTAGTCCATGATATAAAAAAAATAAAAGGTTCAATGTGGCAGTCTGTACTTATTTAAATTACTGGAACAGAATAGAAAACTAGAATAGAAAACTTATTTTTTTCAATATATATTTACTTTCCAGATTTCCATCCTATTCAAAAGCACACAAAAAGAAATAAAAGCAGTAACAGAGATCTCACCCTGAAGAGCGGTGGTCAGGCTTATTTCTTTCAGAACGATCTGGAAGAGAGAAGACATACAGGGAAATGTGTTAGTTTAAATATAGCACTGCTTAAATAAAGCACACCATCATGATTCACTTTACATTTTTTTAAAAATCTGTAAAGAAGAAGGTAAATTTGCTTGCCCTCTTTAAGAGCCGTTTGCCTGAGAGCAAAGAAGAGGCCAGCAATCTTAGCATTTGTTAAGGGCAGCCTTTTGAAACGCAACTTTGTCCATGTTTACTAACTTTACTTTTTGTGCTCGACATTTGCCATTCTGAAAAGCAACAGATTTTTGTTTCGCAAAGAAAGTGAGGGAGCAATGGAAAAGAAAACCACTGGATTAGTCAGCACATTAAAAAAAAATATCATTCCATGAATCACAGCTGGCAGACTCTGCTAAAAGGCTGGGAGAAATGAGTGGTGGCTGCAGCCATTCCTGCAAAGACAGACTGCCTTAACAGAAGTCCTTTTATGTTCTTAAAAACATCTCTGCACAGGCAGCCACCATTAACAGGCATTTCCAGTTAACTTGCCCCGTTGTTGCTTCTATAGGCATACAGTACTGTGGTTCAGAGTATTTTTTAATTTATTTTCAGAAATCCAAATAATGATTTCATTGCACAGGCGACAGAATATGTTGTTCATTTCATTGTAACTGGACCCACCCAATCACTATAGTGTGATAGGGATTTTGGGGAGAAACTCTTCCCAGTATGTAAATCCCAAAAGAGAATTACGCAGTGTTCTATTACAACAAATTCGATTGGTTGGATCCCTCAGTTTATTGACAAAGGCTCATTTATTTTTAATGCCTTTATTTCCATTAGCCCACAATTTCCCCCCTCCGTTCCTTTTTGGAAGGCTATATAAGTATGTTATATTTTATAAATGCAACAAATATATATACACACATACCAATCAATGTTCCTTTTCTATATCAAAACCAATCTTCTAAAAATGCTTTTCTAACTGAATGAAATTCTTAACCAAAAAAAGTTCTTTTAGTTCATGTCAAACCAGGTTTATTTTTTAAAAAAACACACACTATCTTGCATTAAGATAAATATTGACACTATGCGCAGAAAGACAACATATAAGCACGTTCATCTACATTGCACAGATGAGTATTGCCTCTAGTTCTGCTGTAGTTTTCAGTCTTTATTTGGTCTTTCTATTTTGCTAGACAAAACAATTAAGTGATTTACCACCTATTCCCCAGCAACCAATACATTTTCAGTTTATAAACACCACTATTACATCTATACTACAGCAACACAACACTTCTGCCTTTTATTTCTGACATGCTTTTCACTGTATTTCATCAAAACTAACATTGCTGTTTAACGACAACTTTTCAAGCCACAATCATAAAAAGCTGCTCAGAGACACAGGAAAAGCTCTCTCTTTCATCACAACAATTTAACCTTAATTGCCTTACCTGAAGCTACAGAGGTACGAGCAGCCCTTTCCTTTCAGTTCGATTTCCATTTGATGTGGGAATTAAAGTCCTAGCTATTTACACAGACATGTAGCAGCAACAAACCCAGAGAACTTTCCAAGTTGGACGACATCAGAAGCGAGAAGGAGAAATCACAGAACATGTAAACAGCATCCCAGCGCTTCCCTCCAAGGCCTGTTTCTGATTGGCAGCTGCATCTTGGCCAGTCTCAGAACTGGAATGCTGTCATTCAGGAAGTTAATGTTATTCCCTTTTCCCTTTCATTCTTTGTTTAAACAGGAAATGGTTCAGATGGAGTTGCAATTTGCTGCTTAAAACGGGAGGACGAACAGCACGTGAAACACAACAGTGTCCAAACTCTTTTTTAAAGAAAAAAGGAGCTTAAAAAAAGAGAACTACCCAAGAAACTAAAAGGCCGTGCAGCTTGAATACAGTATATACATTCAGAACAATGCATATACATTTTGCTTAACTTGATTCTAGCAATAAAGAATGTTTTTAAAGGCAAGTCACACAGATTTCCAGTTTTATACAGGATAATCATTCTATAAAACCAAACTTTTATAGCTGTACTAGTCCCACAACTTGCTGCTAATATATACAGAAAGAAGACAGATAAATCTCAGGCACATAAAAATGTGAGTCTGACACATTGGAATCTGAAATATTTCCCATATTTGGAAAAGAAATGTACTTCTTCAAGAAGCGTAGCAGTGGCCAAGGTTTTTGACAACTGTGCCAAAAGTCAAGTCCAAAGGATTAGATAGTGATACTGCTATGTACACCACAATACATAAGTAGCCTCTCCACCCCTGGGGGATTTGGGTCGTGCTGAGAGCAGACAGCAGTACAGCTCTGGAGAGTCAGTACAGTGGTACCTCGGGTTAAGAACTTAATTTGTTCTGGAGGTCTGTTTTTAACCTGAAACTGTTCTTAACCTGAAGCAACACTTTAGCTAATGGGACCTCCTGCTGCTGCTGCCGCGCCGCCGGAGCACGATTTCTGTTCTCTATACAGTGGTACCTCGGGTTACATACGCTTCAGGTTACATACGCTTCAGGTTACAGACTCCGCTAACCCAGAAATAGTACCTCGGGTTAAGAACTTTGCTTCAGGATGAGAACAGAAATCGTACTCTGGCGGCGCGGCAGCAGCAGGAGGCCCCATTAGCTAAAGTAAAACTTTGGCATTTAAAAGGCGACATTAGATTTTAATTTAATAAGCATCTATGCTGAATGTTTTCAGGTTACTGAACTTAATTGCCGGACCATTTCCCCTCACAAGGGAGCTGAGCTGTGCATGGAAAGCTCCCCCCCCCACTTGCAGCACTTCTGACAGCCTTTTGTGTGGCCACAAGAGGGCAGCTCATAGCAAATCTGAGAAACGTCAGAGACTGATTTCTATAAAGCCCATCATCCAAGTGCAGACCCAGTGTATTGGAGAATGAAGGTAGCACTGTCTGGCCCCAGGTGTGACCAGCCTCTCATAGGTTACTCTCTTTATATGCTGCTTAACAGCAGCATCCATTCGTGGAACCACCATGCCATGTTCAACTTAGCAAACAGCTTCTTGTTGACATTTTTCACATCAATGGAGGTGATACACCACCACCACCACCACCACCACAATCTCTCAACGGTATGCAAACATTCTTCAGAATTTTCTATTGGGCATGTGCCAATCTTAGCAGTATGCCAGTAAGTTCTGGCAGAGCATACCACATGTTATCTTTCCATTCCTAGCAAATGATTATACGCTGTACACTGTTGAAGACTACACCTGAATGGAAGCTGCTTCTGATCTTCCTTCAATTCTCTCCTGGTTCGAAGAGACCGTGGTGCAGGGAAGGGTGGGGAAGCAGCCGGTACTTCACTTGCCTGGCCTGCCTTTTCCTCCTCTTCCCCCAGCTCTGACGCTTCCCCTGCCTCTGATTCCTGCCTCTTGGCTTGTACAGCCCCCCACAGATCACTGTCCTCGTCTCCCGAGTCAGACTCCAGCCCCCCTTCTCCTGGTGCACACTTGTCAGTGTCCTGCCAGCCCCTGACAAATACCTTACAGGGCAGGGGCAGGGAATGGCTGCTTACACCTGTCATGCCTCATCCACCTGTTACAGGAGCCTTGATAAGGGAACAGCTGCCAGAAGTACTGTGAGGGGGGTTCTGGACTTTTGAGTCTAGGTCAGGGGTCAGCAAACTTTTTCAGCAGGGGGCCAGTCCACTGTCCCTCAGACCTTGTGGGGGGCCAGACTATATTTTTTGGGGGAATAAATGAACGAAATCCTATGCCCCACAAATAACCCAGAGATGCATTTTAAATAAAAGTACATATTCTACTAATGTAAAAACACCAGGCAGGCCCCACAAATAACCCAGAGATGCATTTTAAATAAAAGGACACATTCTACTCATGTAAAAACTGATTCCCGGACCATCCACAGGCCAGATTTATAAGGTGATTGGGCTGGATCCGGCCCCCAGGCCCTAGTTTGCCTACCCATGGTCTAGGTATATAAAATGGGTGGGTTGCTGGCTACTGCTGTCATTAGTTTTAAGACAGCTTTGGAAATTAAACAGCCTGTTGGTAAGCTTTATGCTCACTTAATTTTCTTTGACATGTTTTAAACTAATTGTTGAACTGTTAGTGCTGTACCAATATGCTTAAGTTTATTAAGTAGTAAGTTATTATTGTACTTATACTGTTATTTTTTGTACACCTCTTTGAGTACTTTTTTTTAAAAAATGGAGCATATAATCAATGACTACACAGTTAATAAAAGACGAAATACTCTCCCTGTGCAAATTGATGGGGCTGGTGCCAATCTACAAAGCAGACCCCAGTAGTTCTGTTATTGTATGTTAACATTCAGTTCATAAAACTCCAAGGCCAGCTCACAACAAAGTCCATTTTGTTGTTGACATTGGGTTGGATCCAGAGAACCTGAAGCAGAAGGAAGTTTGACATTTATTTCCAGTATCTTATTAAAATAATTAATTTTACTTTCCGTAAAGAAATTACTGAATACCATATATACTTAGTTTGGCCTGTAGCATGGCTGCTTAAAGCTGCAAGCCAATGCACACTTACTTGGGATCTAAATAGGATTTTCTACAAGGAATCATGCATAAGGCTGTTCTGTACAAGTATGATCCATTGTTTCCCTATCGTATAATTGGTCCAGCGATGAGAACTGTAAAGCAGGTGGAGAAAGCTAAGCTTGCAGCCCCTTGAAACTCATTTTTGGCAGGTTGGTTGATACTCCTGAACAGTGCAGGATGAGACATTGGTAACTTAAGTGGCAGTGGGAAATTGTCCAAAAGGATGGAAGAAGTTTGTAGGAGAAGTTTGGGCTGTAGCTCAGTGGTAGTGCAACAGCTCTGCATGCAGAAGGTCCCACCTTCAATCACTGGCATGTCCAGGAGGGACCGGGAGAGATTATTGTCTGAAATTCTGGAAAGTTATCATAGGCTGAGACAGACAAACCAGTGGTCTGGCTCAGCACAACAGCTTTCTATGTCTCTATATTGCAAGGTTCCTCTACTGTGATGTTGGTCAATTAC